TTCCGATAGCTGAGGACCACACAGCTATGATGAGAGGAATCTGCCCTCACTCCCCCAGCTCCCGGCCCCCAGGGTAGACCTTGACCACCCCGTGCTCCTGTGAGAAACTCAGAGGACATGCCTGCCTCATCTCTGTGTTCTCAGGACTCAGCCTGGTACACAGCAGGTGCTCAGAAAGCCTTTCCTGAGGACCTGTGGGTCTAGCATTCTAACCCATGAGGTGCGCATGGATAGACAGGATGGCAAACTGAGGAACTGAAAGGCTGTTTGCAAACAAGCTGTGGTATTACCCACCATGGAACATTCAGACTGAAAAAGAGGATGTCCTGACACATGCTCCACCAGGGAAGACTCTTGAGGACATTGCGCTCAGTGAAATATGCCAGTCACAAAACGACACACTGTATGATTCCAAATTTTATAAAGATGGTTTGAGTTAGGTCTTTTATTCATTTATTTATTTATTTGAGATGGAGTTTCACTCTTGTTGCCCAGGCTGGGGTGCAACGGTATGATCTCAGCTCACTGTAACCTCTGCCTCCCAGGTTAAAGCGATTCTCTTGCCTCATCCTTTCAAGTAGCTGAGATTACAGGCATGTGCCACCATGCCTGGCTAATTTTGTATTTTTAGTAGAGGCGGGGTTTCTCCATGTTGGTCAGGCTGGTCTTGACTCCTGATCTCAGGTGATCCACCTGCCTCAGCCTCCCGAAGTGCCAGGATTATAGGCGTGAGCCACTGTGCCTGGCCAAGTTGGATCTTTTAAAAAGTAAGAGTTGTTTTAATAAAATAAATATGTGCATGTTCACTACAGAAAAATCAGAGAAGCCAAAGATTCACCCCTCATGGTGGCAGAGACGGGCATGCTTAGTTGGGTGGAGGGGTGTCAGTGGAGTGTTCTGGGGAAGATGTGGTGGATGAAGTGAAAATGCTTAGCTGAACAGGGAGAGGAATACTTTGAGGGGGAAAGACAATGGTCATTGCTTTGATTTGAGGCTCTGCCTGTGGGACATCTATGTGGAGCTAAGCTTTTAATCAATTTTTTATTTATAGATGCTGATGTAGAGATGGGGTCTCGCTATGGTGCTGAGGCTAATATTGAATTCCTGGCTTCAAGCAATCCTCCATTGCAGCCTCCCAAAGTGCTGGGATTGCAGGTATGAGCCACCGCACCTGGCTGGTAATGTCCAACCTTTCACAGAGATGGTGAATACTATCTTAAAAATGTATTGGAGACAGGTTTTATATTTAGATTTATATAACTGGTTATATGAATGTATTTAAACACTGGAGAAATTCCTTCACTGTCTCAGAACCAAGCAACATGCACCCATATTTTATGCTCATTTGCCTCTTAAAGGAAAGGGCTGAAGATAAAGTAGCAATGTGTACTTTATATTTATGACCTTAACTCTGCCAATCTAAGTAGAACTCCCTGTTTCTAAAATGGTTTCTTTTAGGCTGAGAACAGTAGCTCATGTCTGAAGTCCCAGAACTTTGTGAGGCAAGGTGGGAGGGTCACTTGAGCCCAGGAGTTCAAGACCAGGCTGGTCAACATAGAATTTTTATTATTCTATAAATAATAAGTTAGTTGGATGTGGTGGTGGGCACCTGTAATCCCAGCTACTCAGGAGGCTGAGGCAGGAGAATCGCTTGAACCCGGGAGGCAGGGGTTGCAGAGAGCCGAGATTGGGCCACTGCACTCCAGCCTGGGCGACAGGAGCAAACTCCGTCTCAAAAAAAAAAAAAATGTTAATACAGTAAAAGATAAGTAAAAGTAAATAAAATCAAAGAACAGAGGTGGATATACAATCAAAAGTAAATCTCTCTCTTAACTCAGATCCTTATATTCTGTTCCCAAAGCAGTGGTAGTTAACAGTTTCTTACACATTAAGATTTTTACACACATGCAAGCGCAGTTGCTAGAGAAGAGCAAGGTGTCTTGATCTTTTCAAGGTGCCTATGATCTTTTCAACACATAAACAGAAGTATCAGCACACTGCCCTGCACCTTGCTTTCTTCCTTTCAAATCGGTCCTAGAAATCACTTCTGGGCAGCACTCCATTTTGCTGCCTCCTTCTCCCTTATTGATGACACTTGGGTTTCCAGACTTTTGCGAGGACCATCAGGGTGCCATGAATGTCTTGGTACGTGGGCATCCTCACCCATGTGTGGGAGGGGATGGGCAGGGGAGAGGCAGAGAGGTGGTTTGCAGGTTAGAAAGTCAGACAGTGCTTGTGTTCAATCCCTGCTCCTTCCCTTAGAAGCCAGTGATGTTAGATGGGCAATTTGACCTCGATAAGCCTCAGCTTTCTCACTATACTAGGATAATAATCATCGTAATAAATAAAATGGTACCTGCAAAGCACTTAGCACAGTACCTGGCATCTCATAAGTGCTCAATAAAGGTTAACTGTCATACTATTTATGCTGCTGCTGATAAATGAGTGGTGGTTAGTTGGTCAGAACAACGTGGCATCGTGAGTGAGTATGCAGGAGGCAGCCACACAGATGGAACGAGAACAGGCTGTAAAAGACAGGAGAGAACAGTGGTGCCATCACAGCTCGCTGCAGCCTCCACCTCCAGGGCTCGAGAGATCTCCTGCCTCCATCTCTTGAGTAGCTGGGACTACAGCTGGGACCACCAAGCCTGGCTAATTTAAAAATTTTATCATTATTATTATTCGTAGAGGTGAGGGTCTCAATATGTTGCTCAGACTGGTGTCGAACTTCTGGCCTTAAGCAGTCCTCCAGCTGCAACCTCCCAAAGTGCTGGGATCACAGGCGTGAGCCACCATGCCCGGTTAACATGAGTGCTTTTAAAAATATGATGTTGGGCCGGGCGTGGTGGCTCATGCCTGTAATCCCAGCACTTTGGGAGGCCGAGGCGGGCAGATCATGAGGTCAGGAGTTCGAGACCAGCCTGGCCAACATGGTGAAACCCCGTCTCTACTGAAAATACAAAAAAAAAAAAAAAAAAAAAAATTAGCTGGGCATGGTGGCACATGCCTGTAATCCCAGCTACTCAGGAGGCTGAGGCAGGAGAATTGCCTGAACCCAGGAGGCGGAGGTTGCTGTGAGCCGAGATCGTGCCATTGCACTCCAGCCTGGGTAACAAGAGCGAAACTCCGTCTTTTCACCCAGGATGGAGTTTTATTTATAATAAATAAATAAATAAACGATGTTGCTGTGCAGAAGCGCTTTCTCTATGTATCTCATAAAAAATATGGATGGCTAACTTTTACTGAGTGCGCCAGGCACGTGTCCTGTGAGGAGATAGCATTGCCAGTTTTAAAAAGTCATTGAGGTTTGATGCAGTCACACAGCTAGAGGGCGCCAGAGTCAGGCTCCCCCACTGGCTCCTGCATCCCCTCTTTTAACCATCTTCACTCTCCTCCTGCCCAGGCCGCCAAATCCCAGAACTCACACCCTGAGTTTGAGGCTCTTTACAACCACTCCTCAGTGAAGCCTAAGGGATGAGACAGGATTCCAGGCACATGACACTTAAAACTTGCATGTGGCTAATCAATCAAACCACCTCCAATCCAAAGACAAACCAGGAAAAATGATTTGCGATGCGTTAACAAAGAACTCTTAAAATCCAAAGAAAATAAGCAATCTCTAGGAAGAAGAGCCAGAGCAAGTCACAGGAGAAGAGACAGAAATTTACAACATACATGAGAGATGCTCAACTTCCTCAGTTTCCCAATTAAAACAGTCCTGAGCTGTGTTTTTTTTTTTAAATAAAGACGGGGTTTCACCATATTGGTCAGTCTGGTCTTGAACTGCTCTGGCCTTCACAGCCAGGGTGGGAGGTAGCAGGAGACTGAGGGTGATCTCAGGCTGCACACCTGGGGTCTATGAAACTACACATAGTTTTGGGAGAGATTCATCCCTTTGTTTCTCAAGAAAGGCAAAGGAAAATGAAGATAGGCCCATAATTTTAGCCCCAAGGATAGTAATAAAGGGGTCAGAATATCATTCCCCATTCCTCCTCCAGCCTTGAGGAAAATGTTAACCCAGCGTCCACACAGGGCTCCCCCTCTTCTCCACTCGCCAAGGGAGCCGTGTTCTAAGTGGATCTTGGACTGCTGGATCATCCCCAGGCCACCTTCTGGCAGAAAGCTGGGGGACTTGTAGAACCTGAATTGTGCTTGGTCTGCTATTCACAGGGAATATGGGGAAACAGCTTTGTTTCTGTTTCCTGGTACCCCTAAAATTCCCTCTTGTGATCAAAAGTGACCCAGCCAGAGAAGTTGGACTCTGAACCTGACAGGAAGTCGAGCCAGATGGACCTGGTGCCCCTGAGGCCTGGGCTGGAAGGAGCAGAAGCCAGGCCCCCAGTGGGTGGTGATGGCACATTTGGTGCTAACTGGCTTTCTCTGGAAGCCCTAAAGGCAGGCTCCATTTCACACTGGCTGTTTATAAAAGTCCCAGCGCTGGTTTTGTGAAAGCAATTTGGACAGACCATTGAACATCTGAAGCAGTCTACTGCCACATGGACAGGGCCAATTGCCAAACTATTACAGACACAGGAGTAAACAGGAAAAAAAAAGAGGCTTAAAATAATTGGGGCGTATGTGGATATGTAACGATTAGACCAGGAGAGCTGAATGTTGACAGAATCTAGGATGTAGGTATACTGGTGTTCACTCAAAGTTTTTTCAGAGCTTCTGGGTGTTTGAAAATTTTCATCATAAACGGCTGGGGAGAGCCAGGTAAGGTGGCTCACGCCAGCACTTTGGGAGGCTTGGATGGATCGCTTCAGCTCAAGAACTCAAGACCAGCCTGGGTGACATAGTGAGATCCTGTCTCTACAAAAAATGCAAAATTAGCTAGGTGTGGTGGCTTAGGCCTGTGGTCCCAGATACTTGGGAGGCTGAGGCAGGAGGATCACCTGAGCCCATGGAGGTCAAAGCTGCAGAGAGCCATGGTAGTGCCACTGCACTCCAGCCGGGGTGATAGAGGGAGAGCTGTCTCAAAAAAAAAAAAAAAAAAAAGAAAAGAAAAAAAACAATGTTAGGTAACAGGGGAGCACTTTTGGGGAAAGACCCAGATATCGCAACTTGAAGCAAGTAGAACAGGAAAAGCCTTCTTTAAATTGGTGTTTCCCAATAGATCTCTGGGACCCAGATCAGAAAATGGTGGCCCCAAGGCATATGACTCAGATACTGTGATCCGTTCCAAGTAAATGCGCCTCTGAGCCCAATTCAAGGAAGTAGGAACTGGGGCTGCCCCTCGCCACACACTGTGTTCCCTCCCTGGGGAGCGCTCTTCCTACTTTTCTGTTCCCCAGAGCCCCAGGCCCCGCTCCTGGACAACCCACCCCACCATGCTCAGCCCTGCTGCCTCTAGCCCTCTTCCTGCAGAGGGATTCTCAGGAGGCCATCCTCTGCACCGCAACCCGCTGCTGGGGACCTTTCTGAAGAGGAGCTGGGGCTGGAACCCAGGACCTAAGCTATGTTGACAAGGAGAGAGACAGCGGGGAAGGGGAAGGAGGGAGAGTCCCTTCCATTCCCTTTTGGGGGGCCAATATGGGCCTCTGGTGTTCCGGAGACTGGGGGACATCAGGGGAGAAAGGATGGCCTTCTCCTTCACCCAACAGTTCCAACTGCAGAGGAGTGAGACACGATAGAGACATCCTTCCCACAGAATAGTACGTGGGCTAGAAAAACCATATTTATAAAGATGTTTTTCTCAAAATTAAAAAGTCATTAAGGGCCAGGCATGGTGGCTCACACCTGTAATCCCAGCACTTTGGGAGGCCAAGATGGACGGATCATCTGAGGTCAGGAGTTCGAGACTAGCCTGGCCAATGTGGTTAAATCCCACCTCTACTAAAAATACAAAAAATCAGCTGGGCGTGGTAGCACATGGTTGAAATCCCAGCTACTTGGGTGGGTAAGGTAGGAGAATCACTTAAACCTGGGAGGCGGAGGTTGCAGTGAGCTGAGTTTGTGCCATTGCACTCCAGCCTGGGTAACAAGAGTGAAACTCCGTCAAAAAAAAAAAATGTCATTAAGTTATATTCTGGAGTGACATAAATCCAAATAAAGAAAGGGACCATGAAACACCATCTCAGGTGGGGAAAATGCCAAGGGATGAAGCTGAGGGGAGAGGCGCTAACGTAGTAGTGGCCATGAAGGTGACTTCGAGTGTGGCGTGATGGGTTATTTACATTTTCTTTTTTATACTTTCCTGTTTTCCAATCTTCTTTCTTTCTTTCTTTTTTAATAAAGACGGGGTTTCACCATGTTGGTCAGTCTGGTCTTGAACTCCCGACCTCAGATGATCCACCCGCCTTGGCCTCCAAAGTGCTTGGATTACAGGCGTGAGCCACCATGCTCAGCCTGTTTTCCAATTTTCTACAAGTGAATATATAACAACTCAGAAATAATGAATACACTTTTTGCAATGGGAAATTACTCTGTTGACGTAGTAGTTCTACACTTGAAGAGACCTTCATGGGTTCAGCAGGTGTCTGTGGACTAGGTGCCTTTGGTTGAGGGTGAGAAGTGTCAACAGTTAGCCTGTGGTCAGGTAGAAGATGAGCCGCCCAGAGCTGGAGCCACTGGCTCTGGGTCCTTTCCCACAAGTAGGGCGGCCTGTTGGCCTGGGTAACTGGCAAGGCTGACACTTTTAGGCCAGTAAGAGGAGGGGGTTAGACAAGAATTGAGAGAAATGGAAACAAGCTCATTCAGCAGGGGGTCTCAGAGGCTCTAGGTGGGCATCAGAAAGCTCCAAGCCAAGACCCCCTTCGCAGGAGAACTACTCATTACGGACTAGAGCAAACCTCATGCTCTTCACTAATTTCTTCACCATTCTTTTTAATCTATTTGCCAAAACAGTACATTTTTTTTTGAAAAGTTACAAACAGGGAAAACACAAAGAAAAAAAACCACACATACTTCTACAACCTGCATATAATCAATGTTACTACTGGAGTATACATTCCCAGCCTTCTCTCTCTTTTACTCAGAGTCAGGATTATAACATAAATAATGTTATAACCTCTCTCCGTCTTTTTATTTAGAAAATTTTCAAACTTATAGAAAAGTTGCAAGTAATACAATGAAACTTTACCTAGATTTGCCAGTTGTGAACGTTTTATCTCCCTCTCTTTCTCTATCAATATTTTTCTGGACCACTTGAAAGTAAGTTGTAGGAACATTATGTCACATCCCTGTAAATTCTTCAGCTGCATCGCTCTCTTTTTAAAAAAATTTTTAATTAAAAAAAATTAACAAAACAGAGAGATGGGGGTCTTGTATGTTGCCCAGCCTGGGCTTGAACCATCAGACTCAAGCAGTCTTCCCACCACTGCCTCCCAAAGTGCTGGGATTACAGGTGTGAGCCATCACCACCAGCACAACTGCATCTCTTAAGAGCAGGTCATCAGGGGTTAGAATAGGAACCCTCCCCAGTGAAGAGCACTAAACCTTCTTGGTAAACCTTTAGTGGGGGCCAGTGTCAACCATCCCCTTCTTCATTGTCTCCCTCCCCCAAGATTCACGATGACATTCCTCTCCTAAGGAATAGGGACATTTCCCTCCAGGAGACGCTGAGAGCCTCCCAGCCACCCCTGCCGCACAGGAATGACTTGAACGGGAAGGAGGAGAGGCGCTATGGTGTCACCTAGTGGTGATGTTGAGTTTTCCCAGGCATGAATTTGGATCAGTAGGGAACCATCATCATCATGGTCATACCCGCCATTTACTGAGCAACCACCCTGTGCCTGGTACTTTCCATGTGTCATCCCACTTAGTACTCAAGCCCTAAAACTCAGGCATCATTAAAATGGCCAGAACACAGCCTGGCACATCACAGGTGCACAATACGTTTTTGACTGAATGAAAAAACTGAACCTCTGAGAGGCAAAGTAACTCGCCCAACGTCTCACTGTAAGTGGTTGTGTTTGGCTCCAGACCTGCACATCTTAACCACTCTACTTCAGTCCTCCCTGAGGAAAGAGTCTAAATAGAGAAAGGGGGAAACAGTCGTGAAGGGACATTATGGTGATTGGAGAGATCACAGATCTCAGAGGTCACGTTACATACATAGGGACATCGGGGCCCTGGGAGGAAAGGGGCCTGCCAGCACCACCTATTTCTATAGTGGCAGGCCCGGGACGAGGACCCAGGGCTCCATTGATGACCTCAATCTATCCAAAATGTGTGGTCAGATCACAACAGGAATCATCAGCAAGGATTTGCAAACCCCCAGAAATGTGTTGTGAGATGGATTAGAAGAGAGACCTATTTCTCCAGAATGGCGTGAATACTGTTCCTTATGCTTTGATAGCAGAAAGGAGGGCAAGTGAATGGTGCCTGCAGGATGAGGGAGAGCAGGAAGGGGAAGAGGAGAAGCGCACCATAACCGTTTATCTGAATGATGGGTAAAACATGGGGTGTTAGATCACGGGTTGGCAAACATGAGTGAAGGTCCAGAATGTAAATAATTTAGACTTTATATGTCATGCTGTCTCCTTCACAGACTTCAATACTTCTGTGGCACACAGCAGCCATAGATAATATATATAGAAATGGGCACGGCTGTGTTCAAATAAAACTTTATTTATAAAACCAGACAGTAGGCTGGATGTGGCCTACAGGTCATAGTTTGCCAATCCCGTTTTAATGATTGTGTCTAATAATCCAAACATACTATTTTTTTTCGAGGCAGGGTCTGGCTCTATCACCCAGGGTGGAGTACAATGGCACAGTCTTGGCTCACTGCAATTGCAACCTCTGCCTCCCAGGTTCAAGCGATTCTCCCGGCTCAGCCTCCAATTAGGTAGGACCAAAGCCATGTGCTACCATGCCCAGCTAATTTTGTGTATTTTTTTTGTAGAGATGGGGTTTCACCATGTTGGCCAGGCTGGTCTCGAACTCCTGAGCTCAAGCAATCTGCCCACCTCAATCTCACAGATTGCTGGGCTTACAGCATGAGCCACCATGCCTGGCCTAAACAAACTTTTAAGAGGGAACTGACAAAGTTAAAAAGATGATCTTGACAGGGAGAAAACACCAACTGGAAGCCCTTCTTTTCTACCAGCTTGAATTAATTACCCCTTTTCTACCAATCTACATGTGAGGTGGAGTGCAGCTCATGGGCTATCATATGGTAGAACCCTTCACTTAGGGGAAATTTCAAGGCTGAAAGGATTTACCATAAAACAAACTCCACTATCGCTCAATCCAGAGAAAACCCCAGATGCAGGAGGGGGTGCAGACACAGAGCTCTTTACCTGTTCTGGAGGAAACGCTCACATCTTTTCTCCAACGGCAGTGCCTGGGGGAAGGCCATGGCATCCAAGTCCCTTTGAGGAATGGTGCAATTTTTTGAGATATTTTCCAGGAATGGGCAGGCCTCAAAATTAAAATAGAAAACAGAATACTGGATCTCAGCATCATCGGTGGACTCAGTGTCTTGTGAATAGTCTCCTGTGACAAAACAAGAACACGTGCTCTGCCTGAGAGCCACGCTCTCTGTGGGCTCTGCGGTCCGCGTGAGTATGTGGGCTGCTCTCTGTTCAGAAAGCTGGGTCATGTTGGTTGAGCAGTGACTTCAGAGAGAAGACCCTGCTGGCATTTCATCGAAGTGCCCTGTGAGGACTGAGCTTGGTACCCTCTTTGGCCTATGGTGGAAGGGGGCACAGAGCGAGGAGAAGATCAGAGGGGCTCCCTCTGTGAAGAATTAAGAAAGTCAGGGAAATGGTCAGTGGGCATCAGCCCTCATCCCTTTCTGTACCTCGGAGCAGGAAACATGGATAGTGTTGAGACACGACGAACACTGGCTCCCAGGGGGTCTCCGGAGGAAAAGCTCCCGGGGGGGCAAAGGCACAGATGGTTTCAGGCTTAGCCACATCCATAAGGCACACGGAGCCATTCTTGGAAAAGATGAGCACCTGGGAAGCAAAGAAACGATGAGCAGGGGCTTCTACTGGACCTCGACCCTCAGGAAGGCCTAGTGTATCGGTCACCCCAGTGAGGCACGAGAGAAGCAGCTGAACATAAACATCTTGGGTCAGGCTGGGCATGGTGGCTCACACCTATATTCCAAGCACTTTGTAGGCCAAGGCGGGTGGATCACCTGAGGTGGGGAGTTTAAGACCAGCCTGACCAACATGGTGAAACCCCATCTATTTAAAAAATGATAATAATAAAAAAAAAAAATCTTGGGTCCCCGCCTCCAGATCCATCCAGGGCTGCTGGGGACTGCACACACGTGTGCTGACTCCTCGGGGTCCCCCTCAGCCAGCAGGCCCTCCTCCACATGCCATCTGCTCCAGGGTTACCCATCCCTCCCCCTTTCCCTGGCGTCTCTTCCAAGTTCTTTGTGTCTCTGCTGAAGAGCTCACCCTCTATTTGGCCAAGATTCCATTTCTCACCTGTGCTTCTGCCTTTCCCTCCCACTGCCTCGTGACCTTGCTCAGCTAACAGCCTCTCCTGGCCTGGAATCTAAGGTGGGGACTCCCTCCTGCCTGGGCTCTTTCCTCTCTTCTCTGTAATGAACATACTAAACTCATCCCATCCTTAGAAAGGACTCACCCCCTTTGACCTGACATCCTCCTCCATCTGCTGCACCACTTCCCCCAACCCACACAAGGGTCTTTCCACACCCTGTCCACTCCCCATCTCCCGCCCTCTGTCTGCACCGTGTTCTTGTTTTTTCTGCAGCACAGGACACCACTCTTACTTCCTTCAAACTCTCCTCTCTCAGCTTGCAGGACTGTCCCCACGCAGTTTTCTCTGGGGCCCCTCTCAGTCACTTTGGGAACTGCTCTTCCAGGTCCTGTAAGTGATGGTAGTGCCCATGGGAACCTCCTCCCTATTCTCCATTCACTGCTTCTCTTTAACTAGGGGAACCTGCTGTCCCTGCCCCCACCCTCCTCCTCAGCATTTCAGCCACCACTCACTCTACCTGGCTGGTGAGCATGGAATCTACATTTTCAGCCCTGGGCTCTCTTGGAGCCTCCCCTGGGGGTCCTGTAGGCCCCTCGCCCTCTGCAGGGCAACACCAGGAATCACAGACTTTCTCTCCAGGCCCGTGTTCCCCTCAGTGGGCCCAGTAAGGACCAAGGACCAGGGAATCCGCTCTGCAGGTGAGGATCAACCGCGCATGCGCCCTCTCCTCGGGCAGCAGCCGCAGGTGGCCCAGCAAGTGGAGCTCATCTGCGAACTCTCCATCCCTTCTCTAAACATGCTGCTCCCTTCCTCTGACCTCTCTGTTTTGAGCCCCACCCCACACAGGGACACATCTGTACCCTTCTGCCCAGGGTACAGGACCTTCCACGGTCTGGCCCGGGTGTCTTCTTACCACCCCCTCCCCCCCTCCCCCCCGCCGGTCCAGCCCCTCCCTCCCCACATCCCTCAGTAATCTGTTGTCGGCACCGGAACTTCCATGGTGCTCTCTGGCCTCTGGTGCTGCCTCTTCAATTTATTGGCTCAGCTCAGCTGTCACCTCCTCCAGAAAACACACTGTCCTCCCCTGCCACCAACTTCTGTGGGCTGAGTTAGGTGACCCCTCTCTCTATTCCGTGCATCCATTAAAAAATTCCTATCACAGCCTTTCTCATGTTCTAGGGCAGCTGCCTGGCGACTTGTCTGTCTTCCCAAATGAGCTGTGTGCTCCGTGAAGGCAGGGACTTTCTATCTGTAAACCCGAAAGGGAGTCCAGTGCCTAGCACATAACAGGCCTTCAGTAAGCATTTTCTAAACAATAGATGAACACATTCACAGAAGAGAAATGAGAGGCATGGGGACCTACCATGCCAGGTAAGGCTGGGACTGGGGCCACTGCACAGATGGTTTTTTCCAGGTGCTTCACAGGCCTACAGGACAGAAAACACACACACAGTCTCCTACTTTAAGAGTTTAAAAGTGTCGATATCCTCTTCTCGGCATGTACCCTGGGGAAATTCAGAGAAACCAAGACATGTGAGGAGGCTGTTCACAGCAGCAACAAGTCAGGAATCATCCAAATATTAGTAGGAGGATGCTTACATCGTGTGGTATATTATACAATGAAATATAATACAGTAAAGAAAACAAAAGAACTGGAGCTACATGCATCAACATGTATGGTGCAAAGCAAGATACAGAAGAAATAGCACTGAAAAACAAGCTGGAGGTGCAGTGGCTCACACCTGCAGTCCCAGCACTTTGGGGGCCAAGGCAGGAGGATTGCTTGAGCCCAGGAGTTCAAGACCAGCTTGAGTCACAGAGTGAGACCCTGTCTCAAAAACAAAACAAAACAGGAAAGAAAGGAAGGAAGAAAGGAAGAAAGGGAAAAGAAAGAAAGTGAAGGAAGAAAGTTGGAGGATAGAATATGGTTTCCTTTATAAGTTTCCTCAATATACAAAGCTAAATAATATACTGTTTAGAGATACAGTCATACCAATGTAGTTAATTCTTTTTTTTTTTAATATTCTTTTTTTCTTTTCACAGAGAAGGGGTCTCACCGTGTTACCCAGGCTCAACTCCTGAGCTCAAGTGATTCACCTGCCTTGGCCTCCCAAAGTGCTGGGATTACAGGTATGAGCCACCATGCCTGGCTTAAATGTGGTGAATTCCTAAAGCGAAGGATGATGAATTTAGAAAAATGGGGTGGTAGATTGAAAAGCAATTAGCTGTTTTTGGTAGTGACTCCCATCGAAAGATGGAGTCTGATTTTCTACCTCTTGAATGTGGGCAGGGCTGCGGGATGTGCTTTGCCCAATGGGACACTAGCAAATGTAACATGAACAGAAGTTTGAAAAGCATTTGTGTACGAGGGCTGCCCTCTCCTGCTGCTGGGCACCGTTAGACTACGATGTGAGGAAGCCCATGCTAGCCTGTAGGAGGGACCATGAGGAGAACCGGGGTGCCCTGGACAATAACCTGCCAACTGCCAGGTGTGTGAGCCAAGCCATCTTAGAGCCCCACTCCCTAAAGAGCTGCACGCTGCAAGCTGCCTGAAGGCACATTCGAGCGCCCAGGTGAGACCAGTAGAATGGACTGAGTTCAGTCCAAATTGCTGACCTGCAGACTCAAGGCCTAAACAATGACTATTTTCTTAAGCCATTAGGTTTTGGGGTAGTGTGGCTGGGCATGGTGGCTCACTCCTGTAATCCAAGTACTTTGGAAGCCAAGGTATGTGGATCACCTGAGGTCAGGAGTTCAAGACCAGCCTGACCAACATGATGAAAGCCTGTTTTAAAAAAAAAAGTTTTGGGGTAGTTTGTTATTTAGCATTAGGTAATTAATAAGGTGTTTGAGGTGAAGCAAGAAGGACTGATGAGGGAGAGGCATACAGGGAGCCCAAATGGAAGTAGAGATTATTTTTTTCCAACAGGTCCGGGGGAGTTGATCTCATTATTTTTTATTACATTTACACACACACACACATACACACACACACACACACGCAATACAGGTTCATTTGTCTGCATTAAGTATTTTTAAATGTTTATTTATTATTTATTATTTTTTTTTTGAGATGGAGTTTCACTCTTCTTGCCCAGGCTGGAATGCAGTGGTGTGATCTTGGCTCACTGCAACCTCTGCTTCCCGGGTTCAATCAATTCTCCTGCTTCAGCCTCCCGAGTAGCTGAGATTACAGGCATGTGCCACCACGCCTGGCTAATTTTGTATTTTTAGTAGAGTCGGGGTTTCTCCATGTTGGTTAAGCTGCTCTCGAACCAGCCTCATCCACCCGCCCTAGCCTCCCAGAGTGCTGGGGTTACAGGTGTGAGCCACCGTGCCCAGCCAGTATTTTTCAATGTTTAAAAGAGAGAGAGCAATGCCTGGGGAAACTGATGGAAGGTTACTGTGGGAGAAATGAGCCTCTTCTTGGCCATATGGGATAGGAAAGATGTTATCTTAGTCAATATTCTATTGCTTATAACAGAATACCTGAAACTGGGTAAGGTATAAAGAAAAGGAATTTATTTCGTACAGTTCTGGAGCCTAGAAGTCCAAGGTCAAGGGTCTGCAGCTGGTCAGGGCCTTCTTGCTGGTGGGACTGTCTAGAGAGTGCTGAGACTGCAAAGGGGGTGGCATGGTGAGGGACGGAGTGTGCTCGTGTTCTAGCTCAGGCACCTCTTCCTTTTCTTATAAAGCCACCATTTCCACCCCCATGATGCCCATTAATCCATTCCCCTATTAATCTGTTCATGCATGAGTGGGTTTATCCATTCATGATCCAACCACGTCCTAAAGGCCCTGCCTCACAGTACTGCCACCAGGGAGATTCAGTTTCAACATGAGTTTTTGAGGGGACGGTCAAACCGTAGCAGCTGTCATCTGTGCTCTCGTACAGTTTTGTTAGAAAAAATTGTAACATTTGGCTGGGAGTGGTTCTCATGCCTGTAATCCCAGCACTTTGAGAGGCTGAGGTGGGTGGATCACCTGAGGTCCATAGGTCAAGACCAGCCTGGCCAAGATGGTGAAACCCCTTCTCTACTAAAAATACAAAAATTAGCTGGGCGTGGTAGCAGGCACCTGTAGTCCTAACTACTCTGGAGGCTGAGGCAGGAGAATTGCTTGAACCTGGGAGGCGGAGGTTGTACTCCAGCCTGGGCTACAGAGCAAGACTTCATCTCAAAAAAAAAAACCGTAACATGTATATGACATTGGTGATCTTCAGAAGCTCACCAGGACAGTGATGACTATACAAAAGGTAGACTCTCATCAGACAGGCTGTCAGATTTTGCTATTAAATAGCAATTAAAATCATCTGTCTGGCAGATTATTTACCCCCATCCCACCCTCAGGCTACTGACCTCTCAACAAGCACACTGCTGGTGGGTCCTTGGGTCCCGCTGGCCTCCACCAGATGGAGTGAGGCATCTGTGCACAGCACCACACATTTCATTTGGGATTTCACTGGACCTTCAGGATACATGTTCTGTCCTTTGTGGACTAAGAAATACTTTAGGAAGTGAATGCTTTGGCAGAAACATCCCTGAGGAAGAGCAGCGACCCCAAGAGGGAATCCTGGAGAAAGTAATCACGTGAGCCGGTCATGAAAATCGGGTGGGGAGGACGCCTCGGGCACAGGGGCTGGGACCTGCAAGTGTGTGAGGGACTTGTAGGATGTGAAGGCAAAATCAAGCAATGAGAACCCCCTGAGAGCAAACCAGGAAAGCCAGTGCCCAATGTGAGAGGAAAGCCCACTGCAGGGGAACGCTGCTGTGTCTGGAGAAGAGCTGGGGAGGGGGAGAACCAAGAGGATTGAGGAGGGCAGAGTCAGCACTGGAGCCGAAGGAAGCTACCACCCAGGGACCTTTCCTTCCCCTGCCCATACAGCTCACCATGGGATGCAAAGGCGTATGAGCAGGGGAAGGAAAAGTGGCATGCGTGTGTGTGTGTGTGTGTGTGTGTGTGTATGTATGTAGCGAAACAACAAGAACTTCTCTCTCCAGAAAAAAGTGAAAACAAGTTACTTTGGTCAAGGGCTTGTGAAATCATGATCATTCTTTTCTTGAACTATCCTTTGCTTCTATGATAATGCTGTTGGTTTGATAAGTAAGACAAAGGAGGGTCTTTAGTGGTGTTTATCTTAGCAGTGTGTGGGGAAAATATCCTCCAAAGTTGAAATAACCACTGCATTCTTTAGAAAGCAATAGCCAAGTGAGGAAGCACTTCGCTGGCTTGACAGACACCTGCCTCCCTGAGAACAGTCAGCTCCCCAGTCTGCTAACAAGCTACGGAACAAGCAGGGTGCTATCTCGGATGCTCTGCAGCTGCCAGGAGGGAGGGCTGCCCAGTGAAGGTGGCCCATCTCCACTCCCCAGGAAAAAACACCTCCATCTGCAAAATGGCAAACCACTGAGTCACTAACGACCTTTTACACAGTCTTGTTAGAGGGAGGTGCTTCCCTAGAGGCTGACAAATTTAGGAAGCAATATCATTGATTTCTGTATCTGCAAAGCTGGACCCGGGACCCTAGAGCCCCACCACAGTGACTTCCACCCAGAATAGCTGCTGGTCTTGCTTTGACTGCTTTATAGGTTTCTTAATTCCAACACAGTAGAGTTCCTGCTGACTGGGGCTGAGGTGGAATAGCAGGGACGGCGTGCTGATTTAGAGAGCTTGGGGGCTGGGAGGAGGAGGGGTGAGGCTACCATGATCCACTGTACGGTGCCAGAGATAGTTCTTCATTGGAGTGTAACAATGAAGGCAATGGTAATACTTCCAGAGCCGGGTACAGGGCCGGGCTCACAGAAGTCACTCAATAAACACATGGGCAGTGGGAAGCATTAGCACATATTATATCCAATAAATGTTGAATAAATGAATGAGAGGAGAGCAGGACCAGTGCCCCAAGGCAACGTCAAGAACACAGAGGTAACAGAAGGCTCAGAGCCTGCGGGAATTCTGGAGTTCCCAGCTTCACTGCCCAGAGTCCCACCCAGGTACTAGGTAGAGAGGCAGGGAGGGCTCACCCTTGGCCAGGTCCCACAGCGTGAGCACACCATCCTCGCAGGCCAGCACCAGGTAGGAGGAGGAGCAGCTGAGCTGAGAGGCTACAATGGGTGCAGCACAGGGCCACACGCCCTCGGGGTCTAGGGGTAAAGACAACATTTACCAGCTTCCCCCAGACCTGCACCTACCCATTCCTTCTACCTGTACAACCTGTGACTCAGACTGGCCTGCCTGTTCAGGGAATGGGAACCAGGAACACCTCTCTGGACTCACCATGTTCCTCCTCTCTATGAAATGTTTTTCTCCTTGCCTAGGATTGTAAGATAATGTCACACTATTAACACTCCACAGCTAATATTTAATGAGCATGCCCTAGGTACTAGATACTGTGTTAGGCACTTCACGAGCGTCATTTCATTCTATTCTCACAGGGTTCTATGAATAGGTCCTATTAGTATCCCCATTTTATGGATGAGGAGACTGAGGCAGAGAAGTGACTTGCTCAAGGTCATATAGTCAGCTTAGAAGGAGATGAGAAGCCAGATTGCCTGGGAAAGGGATGGAAGAAAAGAAATTCCTCCTTTGTGAATTTTTTTAACGTTACTTTTGAAGTATAATATAAAGTATAAGAAGTGTACAGTTCAAGGAATTATCACAGAGCAAACTTGCTCATGTAAATGCTTCCATTAATTCTTTTTTTTTTTTTTTTTGAGATAGGGTTTCACTCTGTCACCCAGGCTGGAGTGCAGTGGTGCCATCTTGGCTCACTGCATCCTCATCCTCCCAGGCTCAAGCGATCCTCCTGCCCCAGCCTCCTGAGTAGTCGGGACTACAGGCACATGCCACCATGCTCGGCTAATGTTTTTTTTTTTTGTAGAAACAGGGTCTCACTATGTTGCCCAGACTGGTTTCAAACTCCTGGGCTCAAGAGATCCACCTGCATCTGCCTCCCAAAGTGCTGGGATTACAGGCATGAGCCACCATGCCTGGCAATCTCCATCAATTTGTAAAACAACAACCTGTATTTCCTTAGTGCCTTTCAATTTCAAAGAGCTTTCACATACAGAAACTCTCTGGATTTTGCTATTTTCAACAAATGCATGCACTAGACAGCGACGGTGTAATTAATGAGCTCTATGTTTTACATGAAAAACGAGTTGGGGTATGAAGTGACTGGCCTGAGACTGCATGGTTTGCAGACAGCTGGGCTGGGATTAGCACTGACCTTCTGATCCAAGCCTATTCTCTTTTTCTCTTAGCTGCTTAAGGAGCCCTGTGGACCTGACTGTGAACTTTGTCCCTATTGACCTGTTGTCTTTAAGGAACATGGCATTTCACAGACAGATTCTTGGGGTCACGCTATACCCGCCAAGCCCCCTATTGCCTGCCTAGCTCTGGTCCCTAAAGTGATGCTTGATGTCTGCCAGTTACATGCTCTCAGCTAAGCTGGGGAAGGACATGTCTGTGAGCCCCGAGCTTAGGCAACTCCCATCTCAGCAGTGGAGTACCAGCTTTATCCTTCAGAGTTCGGTTTAGTGAATACAGGAAGAAATTGTGACTTCTGCTCCAGTGTACACCAAGGACACAGGCCATTCCTGGGGAGAAAAGAGAGAAGATGGGTGTTACATAAGAAGTCTGGGTGGCCTTTGGTTTGCACAGGTGTTTGCCCAAGAGGAAGCTGCTTTGGAGTCTGAAGTGGAAGGGGACTGGGCAGCCCCATGAGGGCTGTTCTTGGCACCCGCCTGCCTTCCTGGTAAGGAGGACAGTCATAACTGCCCCTTGGCTGCTTCCACATCTAGAAAATTCGCATCCTCAGTGTTTTAAGTAATGTCTTCTACAAGACAAATTGATCTCTAGAAGCAGCCATGTGGGTGTGGGCTTGTATCATCCACAGTGCCAGCTGCTGCGATCAGGGAACCTGTGCTCCGGGGCCACAGGTGCAAAGAGGAGCTGGCGGGCTACAGCTGACAACCTAACTCCCCTCTTCATTCCCTCCTGCCTCTCCAGGTTTGCTGGGGACCGTCTCTAGGACCGCTCACTGAGGGCTTTCCCCAAGGTGATCCCTCACTAGGACAACCACACACTTCATGTTCATTTACCTGGGGGGCCCTTGACTTCCATGGGCATTGCAAACAGGCAGCTAGGAAGAAGGAAATAGAAGGTGGCCGTACTGGGAAAGAAAGAGACACGAGTCAGAGCCATGCAGACTCCTTGGCAAGGAGAGATGCTGGCAGAGTCGTGGTCCTAAAGCCAGAATAGATAGTTAGAATGAACCTTCCCAGGGGTAGAGGGCCATGAAGCAAATCACATTCTAGGTGCTGGTCCTATGCGCTGACCTTGGATGCTGGTGAGGGCAGGTTGGGTGGGGCTGGGTGTCCCTCCTAGGCTAGTGTGGTGTGCCAAGCTCTCGCCGGAGAGGGCTGTCCTTTGGAGAGCCACCTCTGCTTTGGGAAAGATCTCCTTAAAGAGCGGAGTTGGGTGATCTTATCTCAGGGGCACAGATGTTCTCTTATCTCAGGGGCAATACAACCAGCGTGGTGCTGATAAACTGGGTCTCTTAAAAAGACTCCAGTTTGTAGGGTGTGCAGATTTTCACAGTGTGAGTGCTCCCACAATGGATAACTACAGTGGTTTAACCACTGGCTTGCAAAACCATAATAATCTCATGTGCCGCCGGAACCAGCCCCAACTCACCACTGAATCTTGTCATAGTGCCAGTCAGTAGCAGGGGGCTGCTGTGAATGATTAGCTTTAGGAATTTGTGTACTGAAGTAAGAAAATTCAAGGTCCACTTGACAGCATGATGAGAGATTTCATTTTCCATGTGAGCAAAAGAACAGTGGCTATGTGAGCATTTCACTTCCCATGTGAGCACAAGAACAGTGGCTATGTGAGCATTTCACTTCCCATGTGAGCACAAGAACAGTGACTATGTGAGCACTTCACTTCCCATGTGAGCACAAGAACAGTGGCTATAAGGAGACCTAATTCCTAAAACCAGCTCCCTCATTGATACTTCAAAGACTGGGGCTCTCCAGCCCAACATGGAGCTGCTGAGACCTTCTTTTTTTTTTCATTTTTTGTTTTTTTTTTCACTTTATCTTGGGGGCAGTTATCTTTGACTAGGAGCTACTGAGACCTGACTGCTCACCAAGATTAGAAGGTCCTATATTATAATCATATGCCTATATTACATTTAGAAAGGCAGGAAGGAAATAGAGAAAAATTTGGTAGTGGTGACTTCATTTGTCTTTAGGATCTTCTGTGTTTTTATTATTTATTTATTTATTATTTTTAAGTTAATCTTTTAAATTTTTATTATTATTATTATACTTTAACTTCTGGGGTACATGTGCAGAATGTGCAGGTTTGTTACACAGGTATACATGTGCCATGGTGGTCTGCTGCATCTATCCCCCCGTCATCAACGTTAGGCATTTCTCCTAATGCTATCCCTTCCCTAGCCCCCTACCCCCTGCTATCTCTCCCCTAGACTCCTATTCCCTGACAGGCCCCAGTGTGTGATGTTCCCCTCCCTTGTCCATGTGTTCTTATTGTTCAACACCCACTTATGAGTAAGAACATTCAGTGTTTGGTTTTCTGTTCTTGTGTCAGTTTGCTGAGAATGATGGTTTCTAGCTTTATCCATGTCCCTGCAAAGGACATAAACTCATCTTTTTTATGACTGCATAGTATTCCACGGTGTATATGTGCCACATTTTCTTTATCCAGTCTATCATTGATGGACATTTGGGTTGGTTCCAAGTCTTTGCTATTGCAAACAGTGCTGCAGTTAACATACATGTGCATGTGTCTTTTTAATTGAATGTTTTATAATCCTTTGGGTATATACCCAGTAATGGGATTGCTGGGTCAATGGTATTTGTAGTTCTAGGTCCTTGAGGAATCGCCACACTGCCTTCCACAATGGTTGAACTAATTTATACTCCCACAAACAGTGTAAAAGTGTTCCTCTTTCTCCACACCCAGCATCTGTTGTCTCCTGATTTTTTAATGATTGCCATTCTAACTGGTGTGAGATGGTATCTCGATGTGGTTTTGATTTGCATTTCTCTAATGACCAGTGATGATGAGTCTTTTTCATATGTTTGTTGGCTGCATAAATGTCTTCTTTTGAGAAGTGTCTGTTCATATCTTTTGCCCACTTTTTGATGTGCTTTTTTTCTTCTTGTAAATTTAAGTTCTTTGTAGACTCCGATTATTAGCCCTTTGTCAGATGGGTAGATTGCAAAAATTTTTTCCCATTCTGTTGGTTGCTGGTTCACTCCAATGATAGTTTCTTTTGCTGTGCAGAAGGTCTTTAGTTTAATTAGATCCCATTTGTCTTTTTTGGCTTTTGCTGCCATTGCTTTTGGTGTTCTAGTAATGAAGTCCTTGCCTATGCCTATGTCCTGAATGCTATGCCTAGGTTTTCTTCTAGAGTTTTTATAGTGTTAGGTCTTATGTTTAAATCTTTAATCATCTGGACTTAATTTTTGTATAAGGTGTAAGGAAGGGATCCAATTTCAGCTTTCTGCATATGGCTAGCCAATTTTCCCAACACCATTTATTAAATAGGGAATCTTCTGGGCGCAGTGGTGGCGTGCGCCTGTAATCTCCAGCTACTCAGGAGGCATTTTAAATAAAAATAAAATAAATAGAGATTCCTTTCCCCATTGCTTGTTTTTGTCAGGTTTGTCAAAGATCAGATGGCTATAGATGTGTGGCATTATTTTTATTATTATTATTTTTTGAGATGGATCTCTCTCCGTCACCCAGGCTGGAGTACAGTGGGGCAATGTTGGCTCACTGTAGCCTCCATCTTCCAGGATCCAGTGATTCTCCTGCCTCAGCCTCCTGAGTAGCTGGGATTATAGGCATCTGCCACCATGCCTGGCTAATTTTTGTATTTTTAGTAGAGACAGGGTTTCCCCATGTTGGCCAGGCTGGTCTGGAACTCCTGACCTCAAGTGATCTGCCTGCCTCAGACTCCCAAAGTGCTGGGATTATAGGTGTGAGCCAAAGTGCCTGGCCTCTGTGTTTTTTAGATAACCAGAAAAAAAATTTAAAAAGAGATGTCATATGTAAAACAAAAATCAATTCTATTTCTCTTTTCCATAGATATCTGTTTCTTCTTTTAACTCTATTTTATCAGCCTTTGTTCTGACTGTATTTTAACAATCTCCACACAACATTCTAAAAAATCTACTGATGGTCTCTGAAAATTCTCCCAAACCAAAAAGAGCTGGTTTGTTTTTTCTTTTTTTTTGAGATGGAGTTTTGCTCTTGTTACCCAGGCTGGAGTGCAATGGCACGATCTCGGCTCACTGCAACCTCCGCCTCCTGGGTTCAGGCAATTCTTCTGCCTCAGCCTCCTGAGTAGCTGGAGATTACAGGCACACGCCACCATGTCAAGCTAATTTTTTGTATTTTTAGTAGAGACAGGGTTTCACCATGTTGACCAGGATGGTCTCGATCTCTTGACCTCGTGATCCACCCACTTCAGCCTCCCAAAGAAAGAGCTTTTATATTTATTTTATTTTATTTTTGAGATAACATGAAATTTATTTATTTATTTTTATGTTATGTACTGTATCTTTATTTTATTTATTTTTTTAATTGCATTTTAGGTTTTGGGGTACATGTGCAGAACATGCAAGATAGTTGCATAGGTATACATATGGCAGTGTGTTTTGCTGCCTTCCTCCCCTTCACCCACATTTGGCATTTCTCCCATATTTATTTATTTTAGAGACAAGGTCTCACTATGTGGCCCAGGCTTGTCTCAGATTCTGGGGTTCAAGTAGTCCTCCTGCCTTAGCCTCCCAAAGTGTTGGGATTACAGGTATGAAGCACTGTGCCCAGCCCCAGAAAGAGCTTTTAGATCTCAGATTAATTCAGGTCCCTGGGTTGACTCCTGTATGTGCCAAAAGAGCAGAATCTTGGGGAGGCTCCCCAGCTTCCCCAGGATTAGGGGCTTACCTGAGTGGCTCCTCCTCCCACTCCCCATCTAGGCACTTTCTGTAGGAAGCATTGAAAATCTCAGCCTGCCGCTCCCACTGACTGTCCTTGATGAAGTGATTCTGCCCGGAGCCCAGGCCGTAGCAGTCCTCTATCTTTGCAAAGACTTCCAGGGGGCTTTTGAATGTGGTGCCTAGGTTGAAAATATTACAGAATTAGTCAAGCCATCTGACTTTTCCTTCCCGATTTTCCCCTCCTTTCCACATTTCCCAGTTTCCTGCAGAATCCCTCATCGTCAGAAATCCATTCTTGCTCTGCAATTGGTCTATAAACCCAGGTATTCTGTCTTTTCCCAGCCTCTCCTGTGCCCTACCAGCTCACAGAGCCCAGGCAGGCAGCAGCTGCTGTCCCCCTTCTTCTGTGTCTTCAACCTGCATCATTCTCTCTGCTTCTGGATTACAGAATATTTGCAAAGGCTGGGGCTTCAGGGGGCGGTGGGGCAGGGGAATGTTGATAATGCACTAGAGACTTTAGAACACCGTCCCTGTCTCTCCAGCTAAGGAAGGCCCCAAATCTGCCAATTAACATCTCTTTTCAGTCCGGGCTGAAGGAAGACTCACATAATTAGGCAGTCTCAGTCTCTTCTTATGCCAACATTTACCCAATTACCTTCCTTTTTTAAAGCTGAGACTATAGACAAACAATCTGGGTCTCTGTTACCCAGATTGGAGTGCACTGGCATGATCTTGGCTCATTGTAACCTCCGCCTCCTGGGTTCAAGTGATTCTCTTGCCTCAGCCTTTTGAGAGCTGGGATTACAGGCATGTGCCACCATGCCCAGCTAATTTTTATATTTTTAGTAGAGACGGGATTTCACCATGTTGGCCCGGATGGTCTCAATCTCTTGACCTTGTGATCCACCTATCTCGGCCTCCCAAAGTGCTGGGATTACAGGCGTGAGCCACTGCACCCTACTGACAGTTGCATAGCTTTGCAGAGGGAGACACCTATTTTATAAACACATAGTGTCACGTTATACACTAGTAATTCTCAAAGGATGATGCCAGATCAGCAGTGTAAGAGTCACCTGGGAACTTGTTAAAAATACAGATTCTCAGGGCCCACTCCAGACCTACTAGAATAGAAGAAACTCTGTGGTGGGTTCCAGTCATCTGGGTTATGTTTTGAGACGGGGGTCGTGCTACATTGCCCACCAATGTGCTACATTGCTTGAACTCCTTGGTTCAAGCAATCCTCCCACCTCAGCTTCTTGAGTAGCTGAGACTATAGACAAACAATCTGGGTTTTATTTTTATTTTTTTGAGGTGGACTCTTGCTTTGTTGCCCAGGCTGGAGTACAGTGGCACGATCTCAGCTCACTGCAACCACCACCTCCTGGGTTCAAGCGATTCTCTGCCTCAGCCTCCCAATGAGTTGGGATTACAGGCACCCACCACTGTGCCTGGCTAATTTTTGTATTTTTAGTAGAGATGGGGTTTCACCATCTTGGCCAGGCTGGTCTTGAACTCCTGACCTTGTGATCCACCCGCCTCAGCCTCCCAAAGTGCTGGGATTATAGGCATGAGCCACCACGCGTGGCCTACAATCTGGGTTTTAATGAGTTCTCCAAATGAGTCTGATGCAGCTAAAGTTTGAGAACTGCTGTTATACATTATACCCCTTGTATTTTCACTTATTAAAATATTTTGAAGATTATTTCATGTTAGTACTATAGATCCTCTTCATTGTTGCTTACTTTTAGTTATTAAACCTTTTTATTATTGCAAAGTATAACATACATTCAGAAAAGAGCATAAAATATATAGCTTAGTGAGTTACTATAAAGCAAACCTCTGGTATTATATACGCAAGTCAAGAAATAGAACATTGGCTGGGTGCAGTGGCTCATGCCTGTAATCCCAGCAGTTTGGAAGGCCAAGGCAGGAGGATCATGTGAGCCCAGGAGTCTGAGACCAGTCTGGGCGATACAGCAAAATCCTATCTCTACAAAAAAATACAAAAATTGCCCAGGCCTGGTAGTGTGTGCCTGTAGTCCCAGCTACTTGGGAGGCTGAGGTGGGAGGATTGCTTGGGAAGTGGAGGTCACAGTGAGCTGAGATTGTGCCACTACACTCCAGCATGGGTGACAGAGGGAGACCCTGTCTCAAAAAAGTAAAAGAAGAAAGGAAACAAACAAGAAAAAAAAAAAAAAGAAATAGAACATCGCCAGCTCACTTGAAGGTTCCCAGGGCCTCTTTCTAATCAAGACTCTTTGGGAAGAGTTGGCAGCCACTCTCCTGACTTATATGGTAGCCACGTCATTGCATTTATTTATGCTTTTATCACCTAAACATGCATCTTCAACACCATAGTTTCACGTTGCTGGATTCTGAACTGTACGTAGGGGAACCATGCAGTGTTAACTCCATGACTACCCTCTTTTGCTCAGTATTGTTCATGGGATTCATTCATTTTGCTGTGTGTAGCTGCAGTTTGTTCATTTTCATTGCTGTATAGTATTCCATTGAATATAGTACAATTTATCTGTTCTACTATTGATGAACATTTAGTTGCTCTGTGTTTGAGGCTACAAAAAACCATGTCACTATTACCATTCATATACATGTCTCCTGGGACACACCTGCTTGCAAATCTATGGGTACATTCCGAGAAGTAGGGTGACCAACTCAAACTGGCTTGCTTGTGGGTTTCGTAGTTTTACACTGAAAAATATCACATCCCAGAAAACCTCTCAGTCAGGCAAACTGGTATGGTTGGTCACCTTATCACCTAGCAGTGCAAACACTGTGTCATAGGATACAAATTATTATCAACTTTACTAGATAATAACCATTTTCCAAAGTGGTTGCACCAGTTTTCATTGCTAAATGCAATGTATGGGAGTACTGATTGTTCCACATCCTTGCCATCACTTGGTGTGGTGAGTCTTTTTAATTTTATGCATCCTAGTGGATGTGTTGTGCTACTTCACTGTAGTTTTAATTTGCACTTCCCTGCAGACTAATGATGGTGAGCACCTTTTCTTGTTTCTTGATCATTTAAATAATCTTTTTTTGTGAATAGCCTGTGCAATACTCTTGCCTGTTTGGTACTGGATTATCTCTCTTTTTCTTAAGAATTTGTAGTAATTCTTCATATATTCTGGACATGGACCATCAGTGGGTTTTATGTGTTTTGCAGATAACTTCTCCCTCTATGTGGCTTGCTCTTTCATACTCTTAATGATATCTTTGATTTGAAATTCCTAATTTTAATGTATTTGAGACTACATGTGCACGCTACTCTGCCCGGCTAATTTTTGCATTTTTTGTGGAGGCAGGGTTTCGCCATGTTGCCCAAGCTGATCTTGAACTCCTGAGCTCAAGCAATCCACCCACCTTGGCCTCCCAAAATGCTAGGATTACAGGCATGAGCCACCACGCACGGCCCAGATTTTATTTAAACAATTTTCACCTCTGTACATAAGGCTACTGCGAACATTCTTTTTTTGTTTTTAATCCTAACCACTAGACCACCAGAGATGAACATTCTTATAGCTATGTCTTTGTGATCATGTGTAAATGCTGAGAGGATATCCTCTGTATATGCTGCCTACAATAGCTATCCTCTCTGCTCCTCTTGACCAAGTCCCATTCTTTGACACTTTGCCCAAATGTCCCTTTCTCTGGTAAAGCCTTTGCTTACTCTGAGCCAGGCAGATGGTCCCCCTTGCTGTAGTTATCACAGCCCACTATGGTGGTTTCTTGCCATTTTCCCTTATAGACTATCAATGAATGTGTTACAACTAGCAGTCAAGTGAATTAGCACAGGAAGGAATAAATAAATTCAACCTGGCAATTCAGAAAAGATCTCTTTCTTTCCTGAGCTTCCAATTCTGTTAGTTAACTGTATGTAATACAAATGTATTACTTATATTATTTGTTTTAATGTCTCAGGGCTTATGAATTTAAAAAAATTTCCTCTTTAAAACTATGTAATTTTGATATTGTTGCTAACAAATTGAAAACATAGAACATGTGGGGAAAGGAGGGAAAAACAGAGAAATCAATGGCAAAAGGAGAGAGAGATTGAATCACACTTACCTGTAACAGGTTTAGGTGGTTTGATCTTCATTGTGTAAACCGGAAGAGTCAATTTAATGTCTCCTTTAAAACAAACATTTATATCCTAAAACAAGGAAAAGGGATAGTTAATAAGCCAAAAAAAGAGAGGAAGTAGAATAATTAGAAACACCAATTTTAAAAGAAGGTAGAAAAGGAGGGGGAAAAGAAGAAAAAGAGGACAAATAGTAAATAGCAAGATTATAGATTTAAACCCAAACATATAAATAATCACATTAAATGTATATGGTCTAAATACCCCCAGTTAAAAGCCAGAGATTGTCAGACTCTATAAAAAGACAAGACCCTTACTGGGTATGGTGATACACACTTGTAGTCCCAGCTACTCTGGAGGCTGAAGTGGGAGGAACGCTTGAGGCCAGGAGTTTGAGGTGGCAATGTGCTGTGATCATGCCTGTGAATAACTACTGCATTCCAGCCTAGGCAACATAGTGAGAATCTTTGAAATGATTTTTTTCAGAAAGGGCAAGACCCAACTATATGAGGTCAAAAAGAAATTTTTTTTCTTTCTTGCGAGACAGGATCTTGCTTTGTCACCCAGGCTGGAGTGCAGTGGAACGATCACAGCTCATTGCAGCATCGACCTCCTGAGCGTAAACAATCCTCCCAACTCAGCCTTCTAAGTAGTTAGGATCACAGTTATGCACTACCACACCCGGCTAATTTAGTTTTTGCAGAGACAAGGTCTTGCCATGCTGCTCATGCTGCTCAGGATGGACTTGAACTCCTGGGCTCATGTTATCCCCCTGCTTTTGCCTCCCAAAGCACTGGGATTACAGGCGTAAGCCACCACATGTGGCCAAGAAACTCATTTTATGAACCATTTTCTGAAACCATAGGGGGAAGAAAAAGAAACTTGTTGTATTAAATATAATGACACAAATATGTTAAGAATGAAAGTACAGAAAAAGATATATCTTGCTAAAATGAATCAAAAGAAAGCTGAGGTGACCATATTAGTATTTGACATAGAAGAATTCTGAGCAAAGATATTATCAGGAATCAAAGGGTCAGTGAATAATGACAAAACGATCAATTCATCCGAAGACGTAACATTACAAATTGTTAAGCATCTAATTACACAGATTCAAAATACATGAAACAAAAATTCGTAAGAGTGAAAGAAGAAAAAGATAAATCTACAATCTTAGAGATTCCTCTTTTAATAAGCACAGAATAAGTAAACAGAAAACCAGTAAGAATATAGTAAGGATATAAAAGGAAAATAGGAAGGAGATAGAAGACTTGAACAGCCTGACCAGTAACAGCTTTCTTGGTCTTTTCTCTTTTAAGTGCACATAAACACTTAAGAAGATAATCCACATTGTGGGAATAAAACAAGTCTAAATAAACTTAAAATGATTCAAGTATATAAAGTATGTTTTCTGATTGCAATGGATTTAAATGAGAAGCCCATTTAAAAAAGCTATCTGTAACATTTCCAATATTTGGACACTAAATAACATGCTTCTAAAAATCTACTAGTCAAAGAAGAAATACAAAAGCAAATTATAAAGTACTTAGAACTGAATGGGAATAAAAACATCAAAATTTAAAGCAGTATTTAGATACAAGTTTATAGCACTCAATGCCTATATCAGAAAAGAAGATCTCAGTGATTTGAGCTTCTTCCTTAAGAAACTAGAAGAGGAGGCTAAACCCAAAGTGAGCAGAACAAAGGATATAATAAAAGAAAACTGGAAATCAGTGAAAGAGAAAACGAAAAACAGGGAAAAATATGTGAAACTAAAAGCTTGTCCTTTGGAGAAGAATAAAATGGACAAACTAGCCAAACCAATTAAGAGAAAAAGAGAGAAGATACAGAGGGCCAATATCAGGAATAAGAGGGCTGACATCACAGTAAATTTCAAAGATAATGAAAGGATAATAATGGAATGTTATGAACCACTTTAAGCCAGTAAATTTGACAACTTAGACAAAATGGACAAATTACTCCTAAGACACAAGATACAAAAGCTTGCTCAGGAAGAAATAGATAACCTGAATAGCACTTTATCTATTAAAGAAGTTGACTTTGTAGTTCCACAAAGAAAGCTCCAGGACTAGATGGACCCATTAGTAAATTCTCTCCAACATTTTAAGAAGAAATAATGCCCAGCCTGGAAAACATATTTTTCTATAAAAAATTTAAAAAATAGATAAGCACGGTGGCATACAACTGTAGTCTTAGATTTGGGGAGCTGAGGCAGGAGGATTGCTTGAGCCCAGGAGGTTGAGGGTACAGTGAGCCATGATCATGCCACTGCATTCCAGCCTGAGTGACAGAGTAAGCCACTGTTTCAAAATGAAAAAATAAAAAGAAAAGAGAAAAATGTGCAAACAAATTAATGAGTCAAAAATGCAAGTTTATAAGAAAATATATACAGTATGATCCCACTTTCCATGAAACAAAACTTTGTTTTTCAAAATAAATACAAGAATGTAAATACACACTGAAGGTCTAGAAAACACACATCAAGCTAGTAGTGGCAGTTACCTAGGAGAGGGCTGTTTATCTGAATTCCTTGACTTTTGCAAGAGTGATGTGTTCATATATTTTTTGTGTAATTTGAAATATAATGTAACTATTTTTATTATTTTTTGTGAGACAAAAAATCTTGTCTCACAAGATTTTGTGAGACAGAATCTTGCTCCGTCGCCCAGGCTACAGTGCTCAGCTCACTGCCGCATCCACCCCCAGTGTTCAAGCCATGCACCCACTTCAGTCTTCTGCGTAGCTGGGACTATAACTGCATGCCACCACACCTGGCTAATATTTTGTAGAGGCAGGGTTTCACCAGCCCAGGCTGGTCTCAAATTCCTGAGCTCAAGAGAACCTCCTGCCTTAGGCTCCTAAAGTGTTGGGATTACAGGCGTGAGCCACAGTGCCTGTTCTAACATAACTTTGAAAGGGAAAAAAGAAGGGGCCCTGGCGAGAGACTTCCATTTCAGAAGTTCATCACCACTCTACTGACATACCTGAGTCCTCCAGGAGCCATGCCTCCTGAAAGCATGGTGTGTTCCTGGTCTCAGAGGAAGAGCCAGGAAGCTCCAGGAAACCTGCTCTGTTTTTTTTTTCTTTTTTTGTAGAAAGTGATTTATTTAGAGACAGAGAAACAGGAGGAGGAGAGAGAAAGAAACAGCTAACTCTCACACTGAGTGAGAGAATCCAGAAAGATGGAATCCAGAAGAGGAAAGTAGCTTCCACACTGAGTGGGAAGGAATAGAGAGAGATGGAGTTTAGGAGGGGAAGACAGGTTTCCACTAGAGAGTGTGGAAGGGGACGTCAGAGGGGAAATCCAGGAGAGAGAAAGATGGCTCCCATGAAGGGAGTGTTCATGGAAGGGGACCCAAACATGGGGTCCACCTGCTCTGTTCTGTAAGGTATTCCAAAACAAACACAAAACCCCCAGGTCACTCGGCTTGGTGGACTGGGCTGTTATCTTGGTAGGGGCAAATCTGGGATTCACGGGACCCTCTTTTAAGAAAAAGAACACAGAACTATGCGCACAAAATGCCCATGGCCACTGTAATTCCATCTAATATGGGGGAAATTGTAACAGATGAAAGTTAATGTGAAGAGGCAGTGGGATTAAGTAATCATGGTTAAAACATGTTACCTTTGCTAATTTAACAAAAATACATGACCATATGAACATACTGCTTTAAGTGAGGGGCCCCGAAATGTAAGCTCCCTTAACTTCAGGTAAAGGAGATGACTTGGGGGGGGGTCACCTATTCTCAAGGACAGGAGGTCAACTTCAGTGGATATGAGGCACAAGATTAAGTCACAGAGAATTGAAAACAGTGCCCCGGTGGAATATTTTACTAGTATATTTTACATTTAAGGTAAATTTCAAGTAAAAATAGGAATCTTGGGCCGGGCATGGCAGCTCACGCCTGTAATCCCAGCACTTTCGGAGGTTGAGGCAGGTGGATCACTTGAGGTCGGGAGTTTGAGATCAGCCTGATCAACATGGAGAAACCCCATCTCTACTAAAAATACAAAATTAGCTGGGTGTGGTGGCACATGCCTGTAATTCTAGCTACTTGGGAGGCTGAGGCAGGAGAATTGCTTGAACCCAGAAGGCAGAAGTTGCAGTGAGCTGAGATGGCGCCACTACACTCCAGCCTGGGCAACAAGAGCAACAAGAGTGAAACTCCATCTCAAAAACTAAACAAACAAACGAATAAATAAAAATAAAACACAAAAATCTCTGAAATGCAACCTTAAGTCTCTCTGGAGATTTTCCTTGAAGTTTCTTACCATTTCTAAATGATCTGCAGAAGTGGGACCAAGGGTATTCTGAGGAGAAAAATTAGAAGTGAATTCACAATAGGTTTGATGTACGTTTGCCAGCCCTTTAATCTTCCAGCATGCGCTCTCTTCCCCTCAGTTCCTCTTGTGGGAGTGAATTCATGCAGTGGATATGGAGGGCCAGTATTTGTGTGGGCCTCTGGCCTGCAGAACTTCAACACATGACCCCTATTTTTCAGGATCTTAAAAAGCAGTTGGGGAAACAGGAAATAGTTAATAACAATAAGAGGAAATCTGAATGAATAGAGTTGAGGAGCTCAGTCAGAACACCATTATAAGAATCTAAATGGAAGCAAATATTTCTGATTGGCAAAACATACCGGTGATGTTGAGAATTACATTTAACTAATGCTAAATATAATTCATAGTAGAAGAACTACCACTGTACCTGGCATTCGTTGGCTGTTTCTCAGTGTATGAAAAAGAGGTGGCTGATGGTGAGAAACTACCCCATTCAAGGTGCTTTTTCCATTTGGATAGCAAATTAGTCCATCCAAAAAGACATCTTTTGAGTACCAAGTATGATACTATGGGATTGGTTGATAAAAGCAGAAGGTATGGTCTTAACAATCCAGAAAATTTGTCATCCATTGAAGACAAAAGGATTTTCATGCATAACAGGATAACTAAAAACCTAGGTAGTACATGAGAAGTATCAAAAGAGAGGTGCAAATCACAAAATTCTGTCATAGCCTAGAGGACGAAGATCTCTTGGCTAGTAACTTTCCAGGGACGTAGGACTATACTCCATTATGAAGCATTCACTGGGGAGAATGGCATTTATTCAAAGCCACTTGAGCTCAGCAGAGAAAGGGAGTCTTGATCTTGGGCTCCTATAGTAACAATTTCACTAATTTATTTAGCACCCAATACAATGTTTTAAAGGGGTGCTCAGTTAATATATTAGTGTTAGTGGTTTAAAAATAAAAATAATATGCATCCATTATATAAATAAGCAAATTAAGTCTTAATATTTACTGAGCAACTATATCTTAGAAACACAGCACAAGACCCAGGCATCATCTATAAATAAACTGAAATGGTAGAGTTTCTACTTTCTAAGGATAATATAAAATATATATTTCTGTATATTGAGAAGAACCTCTTTGTACCATAGTCTGGAAAATTTAATGGAATTTGAGGCATGAAGAGATGATTTTAGCCAGGAGGGAAAAAAGATGACCAGTGAAGCAGGAGTCAGGACAAAAGACCCTCCTGCCAGAGAAGTGCCCAGGGGTGTGCTCGGCAACTCCCAGACTAGAGAGAGACCGGGATTCCCACTACTGAATACACTGCTACCTTTTAATACCTTATTTTAGCCAAAGGAAGTGGACTTGGGAGACAGGGGCCGATATTCCTGTTGTCCTCTATTAAAGCCCAGAGGCCTCATTCATCATAAATTCCCAAGGAGAACTTGGGCTAGATGTGGGTCAGGGGTGGGGATAAACATCAGCTGAAAGCAGAGGTATTTCCTACCAGTTGCAGCTGTCTGACTTTTTTCTTTGGATTTGAAGTGAGTTGGGGGTTCTCTACTTCCTTGAGCCAAGTCTCCTTGGGCAATTTATACACATCCAGCCAAATGTCTCCGGCTCCTGCATTGGGAAACCAGAGAACAATTGAGCAACTGTCAGAGAGCCAAAGTTTCCTCTGGGAAATGGCCTGTCTTCTTCTCAGAACTGCTGGCAGAGACCAGCCACCTCTGTAGCAGGCAACTTTGACACATTGAAGGAGAAGCAGTTCTGCAATGGTTTTTGCAAGTCCTCACTCCCCACACAACTTTCCCATGGGGAGTGATCCCCTCAACCCCCACCACCTATCGAGGAGAAACGGGCTTTTCACACTGACAGTACTCAGGCAACACAGTTTTTTAACCAAACGCTCTGCCCAGCACCCACATTTTCTATGTTGCGAATGGTAAATTCCATTGACATAAAGAAAATAATACATGGGGCTGGGTGTGGTGGCTCACACCTGTAATCCCAGCATTTTGGGAGGCTGAGGTGGGCAGCTCACCTAAGGTCAGGAGTTCAAGACCAGTCTGGCCAACATGGTGAAACCCCATCTCTACTAAAAATACAAAAATGAGCCGGGCGTGGTGGCAGGTGCCTGTAATCCCAGCTATTCAGGAGGTTGAAGCAGGAGAACTGCTTGAACCTGGGAGGCAGAGGTTGCAGTGAGCTGAGATTGTGCCACTGCACTCCAGCCTGGGCAACAGAGCAAGGCTCCATTTCAAATAAATAAATAAAAATAAAATGCATATCTTCCTCAAATACTTGACATTGGAGGGAGATTTGCCAAGAGAATAAAATAGAGGCCTATATGCCATATATCTAAATATGTAAAGGTTAAAAATCAAGGCAACAAGCATTTGAATAAATTATGTTCTGTTATCCCAGTGATAACTGCAGCAGGCAAGATCCAATGATGAGTGCTAAGATTGGTGGGTAAAACATTAAAGAGAGACCGGGCACGGTGGCTCATGCCTGTAATCCCAGCACTTTGGGAGGCCGAGGTAGGCGGATCACCTGAGGTCAAGAGTTTGAGACCAGCCTGACCAACATGGAGAAACCCCGTCTCTACCAAAAATACAAAAATTGGCCAGGTGTGGTGGCGCATGGCTGTAATCCCACCTACTTGAGAGGCTGAGGCAGGAGACTCATTTGAACCCAGGAGGTGGGGGTTACAGTGAGCTGAGATTACTCCATTGCACTCTAGCCTGGGCAACAAAAGTGAGACTCTGTCTCAAACAAACAAACATTAAAGAGAAACAGCACATCAGCATCATCTCAAAGTATCTCCCTCAAAATGTTTACTAATGACTGCGGTGGTTTTAACACATGTCCAAAAGTTCTTTGATTCTTCTACCTCCAGGAGGTGATACTTCTATCATCTCCCCTTGAGTGTGGTCTGGACTTAGTGACTTGCTCCTTACGGAGGATGGGAAGGGAAAAAAAGTGGCTCTACAGTGGGGAAACCTGGCGGATACCACCTGAAGTGATCAAGGTTAATATTGGCAGTAGTGAGTCACGCTATCACATACTCCTTGATATGATGCAATGAGAAAAGCATGTCACCTCTGCTGTATTTTCCCCCAAATCCTTAACTCCAGTTGAATCATGAGAAAAAAATCAGACAAACTGAAATTGAGGGATATTCTACAAAATACCTGACTGGTGCTCTTTAAAAATGTGAAGGCCATGAAAAATGAGGAAAGGCCGAGAAACGATCCGTCATTTGCTTAGTTTTGACAAATGTGGTGCAGCGACGTTGAACACTGGCAATAGGGAAGCAGGGTGAAGGGCATAAGGGAACTCTGTAGTATCTTGGCAACTTCTTTAAATCAAAAGTAATTTCTAAATAAAAGATTTGGAGGGACAAAAGCAATCATTTAGAAGAGACCGAAAGTCTGAAATCTTTGTTTAATCTTGCCTTGTAGGAGGAAGGCTGCAAAGTTCCCTCCTTGAGAGATCTCCATCTTTACACAGGTAGTTTGCTTGCTGGTATCATCCTGAAAAGAAAAGAGATGTTGATAGAATAGGCATAGCCTGCTGACAGAAAATGTATTTCAGGCCTTTTGTGGTTTGCACTCAGAAACAGAGATCCTTTTAAAGCTTGGGTCATGAAAAGATGCTTCAAACTTCCCATTTTTGTACAGGAATTGGACAAGATGGTAAGTAAAGAAGTAGAACTCGCTTTTCTTTCTTTTTGGACTTATTTCCTGTTTTTTAAAAGACCCCTGGTGACGTGTGACATACTATTGGATCTCCTGGTCCGCTATGCAAACTCAAGGGCCTATGCTGGCATCCAATTATTCAACTGAATTGAAATAAATTCTACATGACACTGAAAACTCTGGTAGTTGCTGGACAAAATGCTCCATCTAGACTATAGTAGACACTGAACGTGACCCTAGTATGAAACCTGCTCAGGGTCACAGAGGCTCAATGTGAATGGTTATCTATACCTTTTTTTGTTTGTTTTTTTTTAAGACTTGCAAATTTTTTAAATTTTTAGGAGAGATGGGGTCTCACTTTTGTTGCCCAGGCTGGCTTCGAACTCCTGGCTTGCAAGTGATCTTCCCAAGTTGGCCTCTCAAAGTGCTGGGATGACAGGGGAATGAGCCACCATGCCCAGCCTAATGTATTTCTTGTCTCTTAATTTGTTTTTTTGTTTACCATTTATTTGTTGAAGAAACCATGTCACTTGTCCTATGGACAAATTTGTGCACAGGAAGAGTTCCAATTGTCGCATGTCTTCGCCAGTACTTGGTATGGTGCATGTTTTTATTTATTTATTTATTTTCCTTTTAAAATTTTTTTCTTTTTTCATTATATTTTAATTTTTGGTGTGTGTGTATGTATGTGTGTGTGTGTCTGTGTCTGTGTGTTTTGAGACAGTTTTGCTCCGTCTGTAACCCAGGCTGGAGTGCAATGGCCAATCTTGGCTTACTGCAACCTCTGCCTCCCGGGTTCAAGCGATTCTCCTGCCTCAGTCTTCTGAGTAGCTGTGACTATAGGTCCCTGCCACCATGCCCATCTAATTTTTGTATTTTTAGTAGCAATGGGGTTTCAACATGTTGGCCAGGGTGGTCTCAAACTCCTGGCCTTAAGTGATCCTCCTGCCTGCCTCCCAAGGTGCTGGGATTACAGGTGTGAGCCAATGCACTTGGCCTATTTTTGGTGTTTTTAGTTTAAGGATTCTAATACATGTGTGATGATATCTCATTGTGATTTTAATTTCCATCTTCCTAAAGACTAATGATCTTGAGCATCTTATCTGCCTTCCATATATCTTCTTTGATGAATTCTTTGCAAATCCTTTGTCCATTAAAAAAAGTTACATTTTCCCCTTGTTTTGAGAGTTCTTTATATATTCCAGTTTCAAGTCCCTTCTCATATATGTCATTTGCGATGAATTCTCCCAATCTATGGATTGTCTTTTCATTCTGTTAACAATATCTTTTATTGAAGTTTTAAATTTCAATAAAGTCCAGTTTGTCTTTGCTTTTATGGATCATGCTTTTGATGTTGTAGCTAAAATATCTTTGCCTAACCCAGGATTACAAAGACTTTTCTCCCATGTTTTCGTCTAGAAGTTTTATAGTTTTAGGTTTTACATACAGGTATATGATTCTTTTTTTTGAGACGGAGTTTCGCTCTTGTTACCCAGGCTGGAGTGCAATGGCGCGATCTCGGCTCACTGCAACCTCCACCTCCTGGGTTCAGGCAATTCTTCTGCCTCAGCCTTCTGAGTAGCTGGGACTACAGGCATGCGCCACCATGCCCAGCTAATTTTTGTATTTTTAGTAGAGATAGGGTTTCACCATGTTGACCAGGATGATCTCGATCTCTTGACCTCGTGATCCACCCACCTTGGCCTTCCAAAGTGCTGGGATTATAGGCGTGAGCCACCGCGCCCGACCTATATGATCCATTCTGAGTGACTTTTTGTACATGGTGTGATGAATGAGAAGTTTTAAATTTTGGTGAAGTCCAATGTTAATATTTTCTTTTATGATTAGTGCTTTTCATGGTCCTAAGAAATTTCTGCCTGCCTTAAGGTAGCAAAAATATTCCTCTGTGGTTTTTTTTTTTTTAAGAAGAAATGTTTTTAATCTTTATGTTTAGGTCTAAAATCCCTATCAAATTAATTTTTATATATGGTGTAGATTTGACATTCATTTTTCCACATTTGTTTTTCCAGTGTTTCAGCATAATTTGTTGAAAATACTTTCTTTTGGCCCCCACTGAACTGCCTTCATGCCCATCAATGGTATTTCTTATACGGCAAATTATAATAAAAAATCTGATATGACTTATACCTGTAATTCCAGTACTTTGGGATGCTGAGGCAGGAGGATTACCTGAGGCCAGGAGTTCATGACCAGCCTGGGCAATAGCATGGCAATACCCTGTCTTTATTTAAGGAAAAAAACCCCACTCTGAGCATTACCCTTTCTTTTGGGAATTCATTGATTTAAGAAATACTTTCTGAGAACTTACAGTATTCCAGGCAATGATCTGGGAAAAGGGGATTCAAAAGGTAAATAAGACAGATCCTCTTGCTCAGAAGCAGTCATACAAACAAATGAGTGGAGAGGGTGTGGGAGACACTGTGGTAGAAACTGTTCTCTTTGTCAGCGGCACAAAGCAGGGAGAGATCAGCTCCTCTTGTGTCTGTGACAGAAGGTGTCTCAGAGGGGACATTTAGGCTGGTCTTGAAGAATGGGGGAGACTTTGGTAGGGAGACAGGAGAGCATCTGAAGCAGAAGGAACAGCAGAGGCAAGGGAAGAAGAATGTGAAATGGCCCAGGACATTTAGGGACTTTTAAGTACTTATTAGATATGTTGGTCTGATGCGTAAAAGAAAACTCTGGGCTGGAGTTCCTTTAATTTTCTTCCTTTGACAACAGGGTAACTAAATCCACGGGATTCAGCACGTACCCTTTGATAGTGGAGGATCTCTTAATTGGATATTTTGGAGGAGGCTCTCTGGTGATGGAGGTCTCTGTTTCTTTCTAATCTAGGCCAGCTATCATCGCTTCTATATTAAAGGTAAACTTAATTTGCTACAGCTTTCGGCCCAGCTAATGGTGAAAGAATAGGAACTTACCCCTTCATTGATGACTTTGACTAGGTAAAGACCATCCTTATAAAAATAAAAGAGTCTAATGATACCTGAAACAGAAAAATAAGTGAGAACATGACAGAAAAATGAGCTGACGAAGAACTGGAATTTTTTACATTTGACTTGTGAACTTACCATCATAAGCTCACTCATTCTTAGGCCTCCTTCCCAGCCCCTCCACTGCCGATGCTGCTCTTGGTCTCCCTGCCTTCCTCCACCCCTTAGTTGAAATGTTTAGGTTGTTTTCCTTCCTGGGTCCTCTCCACCTACCCTGGCTCCGCTGACATCTCTGAGACATCTCCTGTAAGCACATGGGCCACCTCACCCACTTGTTGATTCCTGTCTGCCTGATTGAGCACACCATCCCTTATGGCCTCACACCCTTCTCCAACTGTTTCCTGCAGATGTACTCTATTCCTCTGAGATCATAGATTCTTCGAGGGAAAGGATCATAGTTCACTGTTCCACGTGTCTTTTCTCAATCCCAACAAGCTCCTCATGCAGTTGATGTTGTTGAATTTATAAGTAAATCTGTTAATTTAATTCCCATTTAACCTAATGGCTCCAGTATACAATCATCACCCACCATGACCTCTTACCTCTTTCTTGAGGTGTCTCCCAGATACTTGTTACTTGCCTCTCTGTACTATAATATAACCTTGTATAGGCATCTGGCCCACTGCGGGTGAACGTCTAACTCAACCCAATACAGATTCATGGGATATCTGATTCATGCCAAGAAATGTGGTAGGGACACCAAGGCAGTCTACCTTCAAATTCATCACACTGAGAGTTACAGAGACATGAAACCAATGCAGTATGAAAAATATGATCATACCTTTACACTAAACTCCTTCTATCAGCATTCCCACAGAGATATCTCTAGATACCTCAAGTCTGTGCATGTTCAAATGGAATTCCTCAGCTCACAGAACCCTGAAACCTTATTTTCCCATAACTGTTATTAAGAAATGGCATCATCATCCACCCAGTTAGCTAAGATACAAAGGGGAGGCATTTTCCTTCACTGCCCCCAGCACACCCTCCCACTCCTTGACCCCCATGCATATTCCACCATTCCCAAAGCTTTTCCATTCAACATTCCTTTCATTTTTTAAGGTTTTTATTTTGAACTAATTTTACATTTATAAAAAAGTTGCAAAAGCAGTACAGAGTTTCCTGGTATCCCTCGTGTTGCTTCCCATAATGTTAACATCTTACATAATCATAGTACACTTTTTCTTTTTTCTCTTTTTCTTCCTTCCTCCCTTTCCCCTTTTCCCCCTTCCTCCTTTCCTTCCTTTCTTCCTTTCTCCCTCCCTCCCCCTCCCTCTCTCTCTTCTTCTCTTTTTTTCTTTTCTCATTCTGTCACCCAGGCTGGAGTGTACAGTGGCATGATCTCAGCTCACTGCAACCTCTGCTTCCTGGGTTCAAGTGATTCTACTGCCTCAGCCTCCCAAGTAGCTGGGATCACAAGTGCCTGCCAAGCCCAGCTATTTTTTTTTTTTTTTTAAGTAGAAATGGGGTTTTACCACATTGGCCAGGCTGGTGTCAAACTCCTGACCTCAACTGCCAAACTCCTGACCTCAAGTGATCCACCTGCCTAGGCCTCCCATAGTACTGGGATTATAGGCAGGAGCCACAGTGCCCGGGCTTTCTTTTCATTTTAACAGCTGCTGCCTTGGTTCAGATGTTCAGAATTTTGTCTCCTTAATGACTACAGTAGTCTTTCTGCCTTTTGTTTTGCCTTTTTCAACTCCTGCCAGAGTCCCCTTCCTAAAATGGCAGTCTGGTCAGGTCACTCTCCTGCAGAAAGTTCTTCAGTGTGCCTGTGCTGGCTGAGCAGAGCCTGACGCCGTCACAGCTGCTCTCCGAGCCAGCAGGCACTTTCTGCTCTGCCTGCCACAGTCCCACACAGCCACCTCACTGACTTCCGGCCAAGGCTGACCTTTGCCTTCTCATCCTCCACAAAGTAGGAAAGCTCCTCATATCCACGGGTCACAGTCTGGGTCACCCAAACGTAAGGACAGGCTGGAGGGAGCCTAGCTTGTGGGGGCAACCAAGAGCCACAGCTCACCTAACTAGAACGCTGTCCTGGGACTACGGTACAGAGAGGCAAGTCATAACTAGGACACGAGTTTTCGATACCGCACTCCCCACGGAGGCCCGGTTCAGCCTCAGGTGGAGAAAGCGAGCTCTGCCTGGTAGAGAGGACAGTGAGTGCCAGAAGGGTGTGGACCACAGGCCCGCACTGCCTGGTTTGAAGCCTGACTTTCCGTATTACCTCAAGTAAGTTACTTAACTTCCAGGAGTCACTTGTCTCTTCTGAACAGGAACAGTAAATTTTACTTCCCGCCTAGGGCTGCCTTGAGGATGAAATGGGCTAGCACCTGTGAAATGGCAAAAACAGTACCTGACCTACCATACCTGTTCTGTACGTATAGTTACTATTACATGACCAGGGAGAATTCCCCATGCCTGGCCCCACCCATAACTGGGAAGGAGATTAAATTGACAACAGTCTACAGGTACCTGTAAATTAGGCTAAAAAGGAAGATGAAGAACAATACCCATTTCATCCAGGGGAGCAATAAGTATTTCATTCCCCAAATCTGTGGCCCAGATGGAAGTGACATCAACCTTAAGCTTCTCCCACGCGTATATTCGATTAGCATTGTACAGATTATAAATTGAGAACCCTTTGGCTTCTCCAATAAACACATAGTCTTGGGAAACAGCCATACAGTTTGGCATTTTGTTGAGCTGGGAAAAGAAAGAAAAAGTATTATTTTCAGTTGTCACTGTCTTCAAGTAATATGAGTTAGCTTTTCAGAGATAGCCAGGGGCCCTTCCTAGATATAGTAACATTCCCTGGTTGGGTGCAGCGGCTCACACCTATAATCCCAGCACTTTGGGAGGCCAAGGTGGGTGGATCACATGAGGTCAGGAGTTCAACCTGACCAACGTGGAGAAACCCCGTCTCTACTAAAAATATAAAAATTAGCTGGGCATGGTGGCACATGCCTGTAATCCCAGCTACTTGGAAGGCTGAGGTAGGAGAATGCTTGAAATCTGGGAGGTGGAGGTTGCAGTGAGCTGAGATCGCACCATTGCCCTCCAGCCTGGACAATAAGAGTGAAACTCGGTCTCGAAAACAACAAATACAAACAAAAAAATTTCCAAACATAGTGCTCATCTAAAACTCTTGCCCAAGCATCAAGAAATTAGAAGTATTTCACTGATAGGGCAAAGGAAACAGAAAACAAAGAAGTTGAGAATAAATGCATATTCACAGCATTAGGCACGACCACAGGTCCTGTACTTGATTCAGCTGGTGCACCGTGGGAGGAATGGTAGCAAGGCACTGGCAGCTCCTCAACCATCCAGCAAGAGAGTAGATTCATACATTAACAACCACTGAGGCCGGGCGTGCTGGCTCACACCTGTAATCCAAGCACTTTGGAGGCCAAGGCAGGCAGATCACTTGAGGTCGGGAGTTCAAGACCAGCCTGACCAGCATGGTGAAGCCCCGTCTTAAAAAAACAAAAAACAAAAAAAACACTGAATATGAAAGGATAATATTCAATTTACCAGAATAGTCCAGATTTCCCCTGGCAATCACCAGATCATTGTAATCAACATCAGCATGCCTTTAATCTTTTAAACAGGCACTGACTTATTGGTAGGCATGTCTGGTAGGCATTCCTTCCCTGAGTCAGGAGCTTTCATTTATTAACACTCAAATGAGAAACAGGGGCTTCTGGTCAACTGCTTCCTCCATACCTGGATTTCTCCAAGCGGAGGGTAGACGGTCAGCTGGATCTGGCTGCTCTCAGCTTCCCTCAGCACGTTCTTCTCTTCAATGATTTCCCAGGCCTGGTCAAACAGAAGGTCCACCAGCTTGTTGATCATTCGATAAGGCTGAGGCAGGGAATCCAGCTCCTCATCTGGATCCACAAGGACATGGTCCTCTTCGTCATCTTTAGGCCAGTCCTTCTCTGTTGGGAGTGGCACCTCCAGTGGTCCTTTTCGTGTACTAATGGGCAGCCTTATCTTCTGGGTCTGACGTCCTCTGAGGAATGACATGACAGAAGGTGGCACTGGGAACCTCTATGAAACTCTATGAAGCTGGTAAGAGAAATAAACACAGTAATTCTGGGAAAAATGAAGTGACGAGAAGAGAAGATAGTGCACCATCCTTTTCTAGCACAATAGCCTATAGGGACTGTTTGTTCCATAGACTGGCATTTTCCTTAATTACCAGAGGACTGGTACCACATTCCTAGGATATATTCTTCATATTCACAAGGACACTAGAAGCAGCAGATATCTTCCAGGCCAACCCAAGATGATGTGTGCTAAGAAGGAAAGAGAGGAATTTGATACCCTCGTTGATAGGAGGGCAGCTGTCTTTCTGTCTCAAAATGAAACTCACCCTCTCTCCTACAGCTTATGCCTTCTCCTCATTCTCTCTCCCTGCAAGTGGCTGTGCCGAAGCCAGGTGGGCAGTGAGCCATGACTCTCCTCTTTCTTTCCTTCAGCCCCATCAGATGCAGTTCAAGCACTCCTAGTCCCGACTGTCGGACTGTTCCCTTTTCTTCTTTCCCGCTGCTGCTGCCCAGGAGTTCTGCAGACACATTGTCCAGGGCCCATGAGACTTTTCATGATGTCAGGAATGTTTGAGACATTTAGAATTGACCAAAATAAGCCCATAAAATTCCACTTCTATCTGGGCCACAGGTTTGGGGAATGAAATATGAAATACTTACTGCTCCTGTGGATGATAATTAAGTACTTATAAATTATAAATATGGAAATATTTATAATTTATAAGCTCCTGTGTATGTATGTGTGTGTGTGTGTGTACACATATATGTCTACATGAACTTATAAATATATAAAGGCTGTTAAAGTTCATGTCTATAAGAAGAGAACAAGTAATCTTTACTTAAGAAAATTCAAAATTGTAGGCCCCGTGGGGTGGTTCATGCCCACCCAGCACTTGAGGAGGCCAAAGTGGGAGGATTGCATGAGGCCAGGAGTTTGAGACTGGCTTGGGCAACATAGCAAGATCCCATCTATACAAAAAATTTAAAAATTAGCTAGGCATGGTAGTATACACCTGTGGCTACTTGGGAAGCTGGGGTGGGAGAACTGCTTGATCCTAGGAGCCTGAGGTTGCAGTGAGCTAAGATTGTGCTACTGCATTCTACCTACATGACAGAGTGAGACCCTGTCTAAAAAACAACAAACCGCCTGCACCCACAAAACTGTGCAAATTGTATAAAGGCTTTCATATGTTATAGTTTTTACAACATATTTAATGTAGCACATGGGATACATTTGAAGGTGCTTAACATATAGTGGAGGCGGGTCTTGCACTGTGTGGGTGCCTAGGCTCCATGAAGTCCTATAAAAGCTCTGCTGCCATCGTCATCTTTTCCTACTGCTGGTGTACATTTGTGATCTTTCAATGCATGAGTATGAGGACAGTAGCTGACACTGGGGAAAGAACCACCTGAAGTAATTAGAGGGGAGAGTAACCTGAGCTCACAGAAGGCCAATAATCATACCTGTTTCCACCAGAAGACTAGAAAGCCTCATAATTCACAGGGATTATGTAGAGTACTCTGAAAATCTTGCCTCAGTAGTGGGAAAAATTAGCCCTAGAATAAGTGCTCCTCTGTTATCGCCCACAAATCTTAGAAGTTAGATAATCAAACTATTTCTGAGTAATATACTGCATCCCAGAACACAGCTCAGGCATATTTAGAGGAATATAAATGTATCCAGCATTCCATCGAGTAAAATTCACAGTGTCTGGGATCCAATAAAGAAATTACTTGGACTATAGAAAGGCAAGAAAATATAAACCATAATAAAGAGAAAAATCAATCAACTAAAGCTGAACCAGAATGAATGCAGATATTAGAATCAGCAGACAAAACAGTTATGAATTTTTCTAGAAAGTTATAAAGTTATAACTGTTTTATTTACACACACACACACACACACACACACCTTTCTACATCTATAACTATATTGAGTTTTTAGAGATACAGCTACAAGGTCTGAGATGAAAAATATATCGGATTAGATTAACATGAAGATTTCAAAGGAAAACAAATGAGATAGGCAGAAGAAAAGATTAGTGAACTTGAAGACACAGCAATAGAAACAAGATGAAACAAAGGAAGAGAAAAGACTGGAACAAAGAGAACTGAGGTGTGAGGTCATTTGAAGTGGCCTAATACAAATGTGACCGAAATCCCCAAGAGAAGAAACAGAAAACAAAATGTGTAGCAATAATGGACAAACATTTTCTAATTTTGATAAAAACTATAAAGCCACAGATTTGAGAAGAAAAACTCTAAGCAAAAGAAACATTATAAAAATTATTGATAAAGACAAAATTTGAAAGCAGCCAAAAGAAGAAAGATGCCGTGTACAGAGAAAGTAAAACATAACAGCAGATATACTGAAGGGAACCACGCAAGTGAGAAACAGTGAAGCAACATCTTGAAAGTACTGAAGGAAAAAACTTGCCACTCTGGCATCCTATACCCAGAAAACATGTTTTTCAGAAAATTAAAGTGAAACAAAGCCTTTTTAGACATACAAAATTTGAAAGAATTCATCAACAAACTAACATGAGAATAAATAATGTTAAAGAAAGGCTTTTAGGCTAATGGAAAAGGAGCAGTAGCTCCCGCCTATATTCCCAGAACTTTGGGAGGTCGACGTGAGAGGATCACTTGAGCCCTGAAGTTCAAGACCAACCTTGGCAATAAAGGGAGACCTTTCTTCTACAAAAAAATTTTTTTTTAAATAGCCAGGCATGGTGGCATGTGCTTGGAGGATCACTTGAGCCCAGGAGGTCAAGGCTTTTTTTTTTTTTTTTTTTTTTTTTTTTTTTTTTTTTAGAAATGGAACTATTTCATCAGCGGAGAGAAAAATGTAAAGCTGTCTTTATCTCCAGATGATATGCTTATATAGGAAATCTGATGAAATCTACAAAAACATTTTCTAGAACTAATCAATGAGAGCAAGGTCATAGGATACAAGTTCAATATACGAAAACTGATTGTATTTCTATGTACTGGCAACAACAAACCAAAGATTGAAATTAAAATACCATTTACAACAGTATCAAAACCATGAAATCCTTAGGGATAAATCCGACAAAAGATGTATAAAACCTGTATACTGGGCTGGCAAGGTGGCTTGCACCTGTAATCCTGGCAACTCAGCAGGCTGAGGTGGGAGGATTGCTTTGAGTCCAGGAGTTCAAGGTTGCAGTGAGCTATGATTGTGCAAAGATTGAAATTAAAATACCATTTACAACAGTATCAAAACCATGAAATCCTTAGGGATAAATCCGACAAAAGATGTATAAAACCTGTATACTGGGCTGGCAAGGTGGCTTGCACCTGTAATCCTGGCAACTCAGCAGGCTGAGGTGGGAGGATTGCTTTGAGTCCAGGAGTTCAAGGTTGCAGTGAGCTATGATTGTGCTACTGCACTCCAGTTCGGGCAATACAGAGAAACTCCCTCTCTAAATAAACACCCACTCATATACTGAAAACTATAAAATATTGCTGAGAGAAATGAAAGAAAACCTAAATAAGTGGAGAGTGTGATACCTTATATATGAGTTAGAAGACTCAATTTTGTTAAAATGTCAATTCTCCTCAAATTCGTGTACAAATTCAACACAATCCCAGGCAGCTTCTTTATTTTTCTTCAGAAATTAAGAAGCTAATTTTTTTTTTTTTTTCTGATACAGAGTCTCACTCTGTCACCGAGGCTGGAGTACATTGGCGAGATCTCAGCTCACTGCCACCTCCAACTTCTGGGTTCAAGCAATTCTCCTGCCTTGGCATCCTGAATAGCTAGGATTACAGGCATGTGCCACCACGGCCCGCTAATTTTTTTGTATTTTTAGTAGAGACACGGTTTCACCATGTTGGCCAGGCTGGTCTTGAACTCCTGACCTTGTGATCTGCCTGCCTCGGCCTCCCAAAGTGCTGGGATTACAGGCATGAGCCACTGTGCCCAGCCAAAAAGCTAATTTTACAACTTATAATTGGAGGACTAACACTACTTAATTTCAAAACTTATCATAAAGCCACAATCATCAAAACAGTATAGTATTGGTATAAAAATAAACCAATAGATCAATGAAACCAAATAGGGAGTCCTAAATTAGATGCAGACATATATGGAGAACTTATTTCTAACATGGGCACGAAGACAATTCAGTGGAAAAAGGATATCCTTTTCAACAAATAATACTGGAGCAATTAGATATCTATATGGGGAAAAAAATGAATGCCAATCCATATCTTGCACCACATGCAAAAATTAAATCATACACTTAAATGTAAAACTTAAAACTATAAAACTTCTAGAAGAAAACCTTTGCAATCTTCACTTAGACAAAGATTTCCTAGATATGACATTAAAGTATAACCTTAAAAGAACAAACTGGTCATTTAAACCTTTCCAAAAATAAACTTAATTCTTAAAAACACACTGTTAAGAGAATAAAGGTAATCCTCAGAGTGGGAGAAAATATTTGGAAGTCATTTATCTGATAAAGTACTTGTGTCCAGAGTATTTTAAAAACTCTCAAAACTCAGTAATAAAAAACCCAACTTTTAAATATGTGCAAAAGACTTTTACAGATACTTAATCAAGTAAGATATACCGATGGCAGACAGACTTATAAAAAGATGTTTAGCATTATTAGTCATTTGTGAAATGCAAATTAAAGTCATGAGATACCACTACACATGCATTAAAATGCCTGAAGTTAAAAAGATAGAGCATATCAAGTCTTGTTGAAGATGTACAACAGGAATGCTCATACACACTGCTGGGAATAGTACAATTGGTTTGGAAAACAGTTTGGCAATTTCTTAAAATGCTAATGTAGAGGCCAAAGCAACTTCATCTTGGATGCTAATCCTCTGTGTTAACTTCTGATTATCCGCAGTTCCAGAAAAATCTCTAAGATTTCCAGTTTGACTTACTCCTTGTGTAAGAGCACTACTTACTATAAATACTGTCCATAGATCAAAACAACCTTGATGTTACCATTCTTGCCATACATTCTGCCCTGAAGTAATTATCTTACACATTCCTTCTGAAGCACCTTTCTCTATAGTACAGAAACCCTGGGTCTGGTGGATGATGGCGGGGATCTACCATCTTATCTCACGTCCTGAGACAGTCATGGCTTCTGTTAGTAAGTCCCCATTAAATGTTTGTTTCTAAGAAACCGGGTATGCCAGCCTCTTTCTTTGGCCTCAGCTTTCTCAGACTTTTGGGGGAAGGTTGGTACAGGCCTGTCTACTGCAGAGCAGTTAAACATATACCTACCGTCATGTCCAGTCACTCCGCTTTTAGGAGTGGCGGAAGGGAGCTGAAAACATATCCACACAAAGACCTGTACATGAACAGTCATTACAGCTTTATTTGTAGGAGCCCCAGAATGGAAACAACCAGAATGTCCACCAATAGGCAAACAGATAAACCCTCACACATTGTCAGTGGTAATAAAAAATAGTATAGCCACTTTGGAAGACAGTTTGGCAGTTTCTTACAAAGTTAAACATACCATATGTTTCACCAATAACATTCCTGTGTATTACACTAGGAAAATTAAAGCTTATGTTTTATATAAAAATCTGTACTTAAATATTTATAGCAGCTTTATTTATAATTGCTTCAAACTAGGGACAACTCAAATGTACTTCAGTGGGTGAATGGATAATGAATTCTAATACATTCACATTGTGGAATAAAAAATACAGGAATAAAAAATTACAAACTACTGATGTGCACAACATAGATAATCTCAAACGCATTGTGCTGAGTAAAATAAATCAGAAAGAAAAGAAAACGCTACATACTATATGATCCAATGTATATGATATTGTGAAAAAGGCAGAATTGTAAGTATAAAAAACAGATGAGGCTGGGTGCAGCAGCTCACTCACCTGTAATCCCAGCACTTTGGGAGCTTGAGGTAGGTGGATCACCTGAGGTCAGGAGTTCCAGACCAGCCTGACCAACATAGTAAAACCCTGTCTCTACTAAAAATATAAAAAAATTGCCGTGCATGGTGACATATGCCTGTAATTCCAGCGACTCAGGAGGCTGAAGCAGGAGAATTGCTTGGACCTGGGAGGCGAAGGTTGCAGTGAGCCAAGATCATGCCATTGCATTCCAGCCTGGACAATAAGAGCAAAACGCTCAAAAAAAAAAAAAGCCAGATGATATAAATCTGTGTTTAGAAACACCCTGTGTTCACCTCTATCATCTAACGTGTCTCCGTATTGTTTACTGTGTCCCTTATTATCAGTTTACCGTGTCCCTTATTAACCTATTACCTAGGACTAAAGTTTAGCACAGTGGTTGGTATACAGCCAGCACTCCATAAATTCTTACTGCTTGCAGAATTGCCTTGATCTGGGCCATGCACTTAGAGAATGCTTCTGGCTCTCTGCCAGGCTCTTTCCTCTGCAAAAAATGAGTAACCCATGGGGCTAAGGAGAAATGCTCACCCAAAGCCTAGTTTACCTCTTCTGGAGTCTAGACCATGTTCGGGGTCCCTATACCCCTGGAAATGACACCATGGCCTGCATGAACCTTTCTCAGCTTTCTCCTGAGGGCAGACCCAGCTGCTAATGTGAGCACTCCTGGATCTGAAAGGTGGCCAAGGTAAGGCTGTTTGTGGCTTGGAGTATCAGGATGGCACGGAAGACTCCTGGCAGGGAATGTAGCTGGGTGCCAGAAACCAGAAAAGATAGGAGAATGAGAAAAACCTGGGGCTCATTTCTCCTCACATTGCCATATTCCAGCTGTGTTTCCAGGTATCCTAAGGAGTCTAGGAATTCTGAAAAGGAACCTGGCCTTCTACATCATTATGAGGGTTTATTTGTCAGTGTAGGAAAACAGACTATATTTAACTTAACAATTTGTTAACTTGATTTATAACTAAAATACTTAAACATATGGTATGGTGGATCCATTTGTACTCTTCCCCAGGGCCTGCAAATGTTAGGAGCTGGCCTGACCAACGGAAACTAAAGATTACAAAAACAGTTGACCTTATTTTGTGGTTATAGAGGGTACATTTTATGAAATTCCTGCCACAGAATGGGTGGGGCTCCTTTTCTTCAAGCCACACAGAACGAATGTTCAGCGGTGTAATTTGACTGTAATCTATATTTGTTTCACTTTGCTCATAATGACTCTTTTAGGATTTTCTCAGGTAACAATTTTATTGCAGTGTTCAATAATCCAAACAAAATTCTCTCACTTCATCCGGCTCTCATGCTAGGTTCACACCACGAATTGGCTTATCTCTGCTCTAACCATTTCCTTCACCAGAGATAGAGCTGGTGTAGCTCAAGGGAAACAGGCATTGCGCTGGGAAATGGTTAGGCCCCACTGTCCCCAAGCAAGGGCTCAGGGGAGTTCTCAGGCTGGAGAGACCATTCGGGATTCCACCCTGGGTTCCTGATAACCTGAGATCTGCTGGGAGTCGCTAGGCATACGGAAACGCCCGAGGCTGGGGAGACAGACCCCCCCCCCCCAGACGCTCCTCTAGGAGACGCTGCAGGTAGAGGGGAGTCCTGGGAGGGGAGCCGCGGCACCCGAAGGTAGGATCACAAATTTTGCTCACCTGGCCCGGCGGCGTTGCGTCGCCTTAGTAACCACAACTTCCGGCCGAAACCGGAAGTCCGCGCAGTGGCTGTTAGGAAGGGGCGCGCGTCCCCTCGGGGGCGGAGAGACTCAGCTCCGCCTACTCAGCAGTGAACCTGGGACCTTCCTTTCCCTAGGGATCCCGCGGGCCCCAGAGAACGTACGTCTGAGCCTGGTGCGACTCGTGGCCCTGGGCAAGGAGCCATGGACGCCTTCATCCGCTTCACCAACCAGACCCAGGGCCGGGACCGACTCTTCAGGTGAGTCCGGTGCCGGCGGCCTCCGCCCCTTTCGTACTAACTCGGTGCCCCGGTGCCCTGGAAGGAGGAGGTGACAGCCTAGGAGGTGGAAGCAGGAAGGACGTTGCCAGCTCCTACGGGGGCAGTTTAGTGTTCGAGCCCTCACTCTAAATTCAGCGGGGCTGGGCCAGACCCCCCGCGCCGTCCTCGCCTCTTGCACAGAAGCCCCAGGGCCCGGCACTCCGAACGCCTCGAGACCTCCCGCCCCGTGACACCGGCTGCCAGATTCTTCTCCCCTCCCAGCTTTAATCCCTGGGCAGAGAAAGACTGGGTTCTCTCCGCTCAACATTCTTCCGAGGGATCGCCTTTATTTATTTATTTATTTAATTTCTTGAGAGGAAATTTCGCTGTTGTTGCCCAGGCTGGTGTGCAAGATCTCCTTTAAGAAAGAGAAGCTCTGGGTTAGCATTTATGGCTAGAGAAGCAAACCACGTGCTGTGGCTTCAATACTTTTTTTTTTTTTTTTGCCACGGAGTCTGGCTCTGTGGCCCAGGCTGGGGTGCAATGGCGCTATCTCGGCTCATTGCAACCTCCGCCTCCTGGGTTCAAGCGATTCCCCTGCCTCAGCCTACCGAATAGCTGGGATTATAGGCTCCTGCCACCACGCCTGGCTAATTTTTGTGTTTTTAGTAGAAACGAGGTTTCACCATGTTGGCCAGGCTGGTCTTGATCTCCTGACCTCAGGTGATCTGCCTACCTGGGTCTCCCAAAGTGCTGGGATTACAGGCGCGAGCCACTTTGCCTGGCCTCAAATACCTCTTGAAATGTTTGAGGAGAGACAGAAGTTTTATCTTCGTTATCTTCCGTTATTGCCCAGTCTATATCAGTTACAAACTGCATGTGGAACAGTTTTGTAAAGTATAAAACAAAATAAAGCGGAGATGACACCGCACCAGCTGGATTGGGGGCAGGGAGGGGGAATACAATGGGGAGAAGCTCAGAAAGAACTAACTGCACCTCTAAGGTTCATGCTGTGCTACTGAAAATATTCAACAGAGATTGTGTCTTTTTTTTTTCTTTCGGATCCTTAAGAACCAAAAAGAACTGACAGATTGTATCTTTAATACAAATACAGTACTAGTTCATGATGTTTTAGAGATTTCGTTGATTCTTGCTTAATTAAAAAATAGTTACAGTTGCAGTTTTATTTAACAGCTCTTCCTTCTCTTCTGGGTCTGCAAGTGCTCATACCAATTATTAGGGCACCAATAATCTGGCTTTTGGAAGCCTTCTTCCTGCCAGGTATTAGTCTCGGTGTTTTGCAACTATGAACTCATGGAACCCTCATCACAACGCTGTGAGGTAGATACTCTAAATATTCTCCCCATTTCAGATGGAGAAACTGAAACAGAAGAAGGTTAATGGTACTAAACGGCAGAACTGAGAGATTCCCATCCACGCAGTTGACTCCAGGGCTCACTTAACTACCAGGCTATACTGGCTTTCTCATTCGATTGACAGGTTTTTAAAGTGGTTGCTTTATATACAAGCTTCATTAAATAGAAACTTCCTTAAATAAAAAACCTGTAATTCCAGTATACCCAGAACGTAGCCTGTAAGGTTTATCAAGGAGGTTGATTAAAAAAAATAATCATTTAGGCTGGATGAGGTGGCTCATGCCTGTAATCCCAGCATTTTGGGAGGCCGAGGCTGGTGGGTCATGAGGTCAGGAGTTCGAGACCAGCCTGGCCAACATGGTGAAACTCTATCTTTACTAAAAATACAAAAATTAGCTGGGCATGGGGGGTATGCACCTGTAATCCCAGCTACTGGGGAGGCTGAGGCAGGAGAATCACTTGAACTTGGGGGGCAGAGGTTGCAATGAGCTGAGATCGCGCCACTGCCTTCCAGCTTGGGTGACAGAGTGAGACTCTGTATTGGAAAAAAAAATCATTTAAGATATGTTTATTATGCCCAGTGTGGTGGCTCACCCCTGTAATCCCAGCACTTTGGGAGGCTGAGGTGGGCAGATCACCTGAGGTCAGGAGTTCAAGACCAGCCTGGCCAACATGGTGAAACCCCTGTCTCTAGTAAAAATACAAAAATTAGCCAGGTGTGGTGGTGCCTGTAATCCCAGTTACTTGGGAGGCTGAGGCAGGAGAATCTCTTGAACCTGGAAGGCGGAGGTTGCAGTGAGCTGAGATCACGCCATTGCACTCCAGCGTGGGCAACAGAACAAGACTCCATCTCAAAAACCAAAAAAAGATATGTTTATTGCACAAGATCTGAGATCTCTAGCATCTGTTTCCCACCTCCTTGATGATCTGTATAACCTTTATGACCACATTGGCATTCATAAAATAATGCCGTGCTTTCTGTGCCAGTAATGCCCACACAAACATGATGAACGTTTCTAAAACCCGCTGCACTTTCTGTAAGAAATGTGGCAAGCACCAGCTCCACAAAGTGACAGTACAAGAAGGGCAGGGGTTCTCTGTATGCCCAGGGACAGTGGCGTTATGACAGGAAGCAGAGTGGCTGTGTGGGCAGACTAAGCCAATTTTTCTGGAAAAAGGCTAAAACTACAAAGAAGATTGTGCTAAAGTTTGAGTTTGGTGAGCCCAATGCAGGCCTAAGAGAATGCTGGCTCTTCCAAGATGGCAGCATTTTGAACTGGGAGAAGATAGGAAGAGAAAGGGCCAAGTGATCCAGTTCTAAGTGTCATCTTTTGTTTTATTATGAAGACAGTAAAATCTTAAATTTATATTCACTTCAAAAATAAATAAACAAAATAAAATAATATAATGACTTGTTGTTGGCCTGACCCCTATTATTAGACCAAAGCACAGAAAGGGAGAGTCACTGACATGACTAGCCCTCTAGCCAGGAAGCAGCTTAAAAAAGAGAAAGCGACCGATGACTCCAGTCTTCTCTTTTTATTTCATTCTTAGTAACAAGTTCACTATTTTGGAAAATGGAAAATGTACCACATTTATATTGAGAATAATATTAATAGCATAAAGGTATTCTAATTTACTTATCAGACAGCAGGAACCAGACACCTACTTTATTAGTAGACTGCCAAATGAATTTGGATGTGTGACTGTGATACAAAATTTCTCATACATTTATGTTTATCAGTAAGCCATTGTTATTTGTAAGCATGACAATAACCACTTTATCAAATATATAGTAGTATTCAACAGGATTCTGCCTGTATTTTATATAAAATACGAATGAATTTTGAAAGACAACTATGAAAACATATTTATACTAATTTGTGTACTGGTTTGTATTTGGTCCTTTCATTTATAGGAAATTAAGCAATCTTCAGGCTGTGGACTTTTCATTTGGTTCTGGTTTGGGTTCGTGTGCTGTCACATAGATGGTAGGTCAAGTACATGGTAGAAAGTTCGTTTGGAAATCTGAAAATCAGGCCGGGCATGGTGGCTCACACCTGTAATCCCTAGCACTTTGGGAGGCCGAGGTGGGCAGATCACGAGGTCAGGAGTTGGAGACCATCCGGGCCAACATGGTGAAACCCCATCTCTACTAAAAATACAAAATTAGCCAGGCGTAGTGGTACGCACCTGTAGTCCCAGATACTTGGGAGTCTGAGGTGGGAGAATCGCTTGAACCTTGGAGGTGGAGATTGCAGTGAGCCAAGTTTGCGCCACTACACTCCCGCCTGGCAACAGAGCAAGGCTCCATCTCAAAAAAAGAAATCTGAAAATCATTCTACACTGGGGAAGAAAAGAAGTACAGATCTTTGCAGACTTAACATGAGGGAGATTTTTGTGCAGTTTCCCGCTCTGACTATGTCCATTTTCTCTGTGCCAGCAGAAGGCCTTTGGGAGTTTATTGCAGAGTTTGCCTTCATTACCTTTGTGTTGCATTTCCGTGACACATTCTGCTCTTTGGCTCTCCTGTGGAATGACTGTTGCAGAATTTTGCTTTTGTAAGAGTTGCTACATGAGAAATTGTCTTGGAAATGTTGTCTTCAGGCATGTCTCTTTCCTTTACTTCATGAAGTAAGTTTTATTTGGTTTGTAAATCATTATTCTCAATTCTTTTTCCATTTCAGAGCCACTCAGTACACATGCATGTTGCTTAGATATTTGTTAGAGCCTAAAGCTGGCAAAGAGAAGGTGGTAATGAAGCTCAAGAAACTGGAGTCCAGTGTGAGCACTGGCCGTAAATGTAAGTACCCTGTTTCTTGAGGGACAGTGGCTCCTGGTTTAGAATCTTCAGCCTCAGACTCTGTAATTCATGGAGTAATTTCTAGGTCATTAATTTCTGGTCAATCAAGTTTATTGATGAAATTGACCAGTAAGGCTGCTCTCATGGCACAGCAAGTTTGAACATGTTGCTGCAGACCATCATAAACACCCTCTTCTGTTCACACCTGGTGCTACACCTTATCTTCCTGCTTAGTCATAACCAGTGGGACATACACCGTGTTCGTTCACCTTTAGTTCTTAGACTCACAGTATGTTTAGCAGCCTCTGACGTGAGCTTCTGCTCTTGTGAACCCCTTTGTTCTAAAGAAGAGTGGAATCGTTATATCCTAGACCACCTGCCTTTTCCCTTTCTTGAGGAGTGCTAGAGGATATATAGGTGGATACAGTTTTATAGACCATTTGTGGGTAGGTTTATGTTAAAGGTAAAAAGTGAAGTCAATATTTTGTGCTTATTTAGTTGACTTTATCAATACATCATATTGGGAAATCTAATACTTCTCATAGCAGTTGCCCTTCTGACTCTTTGTTGTTTGATGAAAACTAGTAGGTTGGCAGAGGCATTAGAATGGAATGAAGAGCATCACATATTGATCATTTGGTTTTGAGCACCTATGTCATATAGGTACATTTGTCAGCCTTATGGGAGAAGTAAGGTGCTTTAAATAATCACATATAAGATTTAGTGCCAAACTTGTTGGCTGGAGTAGAGGAAAGGAAAGGTGTTTAGGAGGAGGTGGAACTTAAGATGTGGCTAGAGAGAAGGAAGGAGAGAGTTTTGAAGGGCACTTTCCTCTAGTAAAGGCTCAGAACTCTTCTGAACAAACTATTGCAAGGGAGGGTTATCTACGGAACTAGCTTGACAGAGAAGAGATTTAAAATGTCAAGCAGAGGGATGGGAAGAGTGGGGCAAGATTTTCTGGATGGGATTGAGGGCCAAGATTAGAAATTCTATTTAGATTATTTAGAATATTGCAGCTCAGAGGTCCTTTAGAGGTCACTGGTCTCTAAATCCAAAAGAGGTCCAGGGTCATTCAGCCAGTTAGTGCAAGAGCCAGAACTGGAACCCAGAATCTATATACTAAAAATGGTCATTACATATACTACTTTACTATTTTATGTTATTTTTGATAACATAATACCAAATATTCTTCTTTTTCTTTTCTTTCTTTCTTTTTTTTTTTTTTTTGAGATGGAGTCTTACTCTGTTGCCCAGGCTGGAGTGCAATGGCATGATCTTGGCTCACTGCAACTTCCACATCCCAGATTTAAGCGATTCTCCCACTTGTCTCTCTAGTAGCCAGAACTACAGGTGTGTGCCAATACACCTGGCTAATTTTTGTTTTTTTTTTAGTAGAGACAGGGTTTCACCATGTTGGCCAGGCTGGTCTCGAACTCCTGACCTCAGGTGATCTGCCCACCTTGGCCTCCCAAAGTGCTGGGATTACAGGCATGAGCCCCTTCTGAGATGACAAGTTTTCTGAGAGTAGCTACTGAGCGCTGAGTGCCTCCTGAGTCTAAGGTGTGGTCCTTCAAGGCAAAGTACTTCTTTTGTATCCTTCATGACGTTTAGGACTAGATCTCTTTCTCAGGTGTTCAGTAGTACCTGCTGATTGATATATCCCTGATGAATTGAATTACATGCTCACATAAGGACATGCCATTGCAATGGTTGATTTAATTCAACCAGGAGCTATGTGACGATATTATTAATTGTCCTATCCGTTAAATTCTACCATCTCTACTTTATTTTCTTGATAGTAGGTAGCCAAAGGGGTTTGGACCAGATAAATGGCAAAATGATAATAGTATTTTTTAAAAAGACAATCTTTTGTCTGGAAAATAAATAAAATGTAAGGCATCAGACTCTCCCAAGAGAGTACTGCATCTGGATTCATGTTATCATAGTACCTTCCTTCTAAAGAAGTATAGCTGGTAAATAATCAAATATAACAATCCACTCTCATGATTGACCCTGCCTGGAGTATGCCATCAGTTAACATTAAGGTGTTCATTGCAGTGGAGGAGGTAAATTTAAAGAGTCACTGTATTTTTTGCCTTCCAGGATGATTTTAGGTGTACTGTTTCTCTTTTTCTGAACAATGGCTGAGCCTTGAATGACCATCAGTTATTAAAAAAAAACCAGTGCTAAGCTGGGCATGGTGGCTCATGCCTATAATCCCAACTATTCTGGAGGCTGAGGTGGGAGGATTTCTTGAGCCCAGGAGGTTGAGGCTACTGTGAGCTGTGATGGTGCCACTGCACTCCAGCCTGTGTTACAGAGCGAGACCCTGTCTCAACAAAAAACAACGAAAAGCTGGCTCCTCACCCTGATACAGGGATTCTACCTTCCCATTGTGTGCTAATGAAATAACTTCACTATTGTGGGTTCTACTTGCAGGGTTCAGACTAGGCAATGTGGTACATGCTGTACAGGCAACCGAGCAGAGTATTCATGCCACTGACCTGGTACCTCGCCTGTGCTTAACACTAGCCAACCTGAACCGTGTGATTTATTTCATCTGTGACACCATCCTCTGGGTGAGGAGCGTAGGTCTCGCCTCTGGCATCAACAAAGAGAGATGGCGAACAAGGGCTGCCCGCCACTACTACTATTCTCTTCTGCTGAGCCTGGTCAGGGATCTGTATGAAATCTCCCTGCAGATGGAACGAGTTATACATGACAAGGCAAAGAAAGAGAAATCAGCATCCCAGGATCCTTGTGGGTACAGTGTGGCTGATGAAGAAACAGAATGGCTCCAGTCCTTTCTACTTCTCGTATTCCGATCTCTGAAGCGTCATCCTCCCTTGCTCCTGGACACAGTGAAGAACCTCTGTGATCTCCTGAACCCTTTGGACCAGCTGGGGATCTGTAAGTCCAATCCTGGCATCATTGGACTTGTAGGTCTTGTGTCCTCTATAGCAGGCATGATCACTGTGGTGTATCCTCAGATGAAGCTGAAGACCCGATAGGGTGTTTGTAGGCTCAGAACTAGTACCTACTTTAAAAGATGGTCTCTTAGTGGGTAGACATTTGTGTAAGTCACAGGCCATGTCACACTGCTTACATTCTTGTTCATGTGAGCATTTAGCAACCTGTGATGTGTGCAGAGGTGAGGCCAAGAACAGAGAAGGGAGGAGCATGAAGAGTGGAATGTTTTTGGAGTGCTGGAGTGACTTGCAAATTTCTGAATGTTTCCCCTTCATCTAACATTGATTGAACATCTCTTATGCCCATAGTAGGAATTTAGTATTTGCTGAATGAATATAAATTGAAAAGAAAAAATTTAAAAAGACCCAATCACACTGATCATTGAGGACTAATATACAGTAACTTTAGGGTTATGTGGCTCATTGGTGTCATAGGATTCCGGCAGGTCTGGTGCACAGTGCTCTCAGATCTAGTGGAGGCTCTGGTGTCAGCAGCAGGATGGAGGAGAGCTGCGCTTACAGCCTCCCAACTTGTTGGTCCTTGCCATCACTGCATCCATGTCCCTGCTCAGTCCAGAAGGTGAATCAGAAAAGCATCAGGCACCTTCATGGTATAAATTGTGTCTGTGGGTGCAGCGAATAAGCAAAAATCAGGAGCAGACAGGAGGGACTTAGAGAAATAGGCAGAGGTTCACAATGGGTGCCTATACATCGCCTGTGACAGGTAAGAGGCTGACAATGAAACAAACAAAAGAAAACTGAGGCTACAGCCTCATTTCTCTGAGAATAGACTCCTAATCCAGCAAAAGACAACTGAGGCTACAGCCTTGTTCCTCTGACAATAGACTCCTAATCCAGCAAAAGACAACTGAAGCTACAGCCTTGTTCCTCTGACAATAGACTCCTAATCCAGCAAAAGACAACTGAGGCTACAGCCTTGTTCCTCTGACAATAGACTCCTAATCCAGCAAAAGACAACTGAGGCTACAGCCTCATTCCTCTGACTCCTAATCCAGTGTTCTTTCCATGCCATCCCACTTTCTTATTGAGTAGAAATGTGATCCCCTCCTGAATCCTGTTTTTTGCCTCTTGCTCTCTTATAATTTGGAAACTTCCTTGTCCAGTGGTTTATATTTTTTTCTAGAAAAAATAAAACTGGATGGAGTGTGGTGGCTCACGTCTGTAATACCAACACTTTGGGAGGCTGAAGCAGGAGGATTGCTTGAGGCCGGGAGTTCAAGACCAGCCTGAGCAATACAGTGAGACCCCATCTCCACAGCAAAGTGTTAAAAAATTAGCCAGGCATGGTGGTGGATGCCTGTAGTCCCAGTTATTCCAGAGGCTGAACCAGGAGGACCGCTTGAGCCCAGGAGTTGAAGGCTGCAGTGAGCTTCCACTGCACTCCAGCCTGGGTGATAGAGCCAGATCCTGTGTCTTAAAAAAAAATTAAAACAGTATTTAGACTTATCCGCTAGATTGTTTTAAATTACAGCCTAATAACAACTTAGGCAATTCTACATTAATTTCCATCAAAAATTAATGTCATGAATGCTCTAGATGTAAGAGGGTCACAATGTTCTCTGGTAAATCAGACGTCTTATCTGTAGGGTGATTGAGGAAGGTGGAAAGAGCAGGAGGAAGCCAGTGAAGAGGACACTGGAGTGCTGGGCCATTGACATTGACTCGTGTTCCTGTCTCCCGTCTTGGGTGTGGGTTCTTATATGTGGTTACAGATCCTTCGGTTTGAGGGAGGTGAGGTGGAGAGATAGGATGCCAGCAGGTGGGAGGCTGATGTCATCCTCCCAGCAAAGCTATCTCATTTATCTGAATGGAAATGAGAAAATACATATGTACTCAACAAGTAATTTCCCAGATATGTGATCGAGATTCTCAGAAAATAGGCTCAGATTCTTGGCTGTCTGTTTAATCAATCAAGATATGGTATTTGTGGAATAAAATTTTGGTGCTTTTAAGAGAAATGAAAGCTACTAGAGATCAGGGCAAATAAAAAGCTTAGATAACTTTTTATTGTCCAGATCCTCTACTGTAATAGATTAATTATGTTCAATAAATTTCTAGACAAAATTGACTGTGTCTGAGTGTGTTCCGGGAATAGAGAAGAGTTAAACGTAAGGCAATCCAGCAGGTAATCCTCAGTCAGCCTACACAGTTGGTACAGTGAGCTCTGGGCTGCAGAGGAGGATGGAGAAGGATGGAGGTGAAGAGCCTCTGGGTGGAGAGGGGCCTCTGAAAGCTCATCTAGACTGCTGCCATGGAGAGGGTGTCTTACAGTGGCCCTGTCAATGGCTGGCTGGCTTCTGCCTGTGTAAGTCTGCCTTGACCTCATGGTGGCATGTTATGTTATGATGGTATCCATCATGGGACTTTTGTCCTCTGCAAGTTCTGGTGAGTTGTGGGGAGGCTGGGAAATGCTACCTCCTCTAGAGTTCGTGTAAACCTTAATGGTGCCCTGGCACCTCCCTGTGAATCATTCTCCCTTCTAACTAACACTTTCTACCCCAGAGCCTCCACCTTCATGAGGGATGACACAAATCAAAGTTCCTCATAGGCGTACAGCCCAGCACATTCACAACTGAGCATCGCTGCCTGATAAGTCATTTATTCAATAATGAATGTTTGAGTGCCATGCATGGTTTTGGGGATCCACTTGTGAGCAAGATGACCTAGGTCTCTGCTCTCATGTGGTGGAGGGGTAGGGAGAGCAGGTGGGGATGGAGAAGGAGAGAAAATAGAACTACTGCTCGAAAACTGACTCTTCGGCCTTCCCTTGGGGCTCTCCTAGGCCCTTTCACCACTTCTCACCTCTCACCCACATTCTGTAGCCAGAGGACTAGTTTAGTTGGCAGCATTTTTGGGCACAGAGCCCTGGACTCCTCTGGCTCGAAGCCACTCCTCTGAAGGCTGAAAGCTGCCCTTTGGCCTAGGTTGCTGTCCAGTCACAGACTCACGAATGATTTGTGCTGAGCCTCAAAGTGAGGGCAGAGGCCACTTCTTTAAATACTTTGTCTTCTCAACTGCCTTACATTTTAAAAGCCCAGGATCGATAACTATTAAATGTATAGGTGGCTGAGGCAGGCGGATCACGAGGTCAAGAGATTAAGACTATCCTGGCCAACATGGTGAAACCCCATCTCTACTAAAACACAAAAAATTAGCTGGACATAGTGATGTGTGTCTGTAGTCCCAGCTGCTCAGGAGGCTGAGGAGGAGAAGCACTTGAACTCGGGAGGCAGAGGTTGCAGTGAACCAAGATCACACCATTGCACTCTACCCGGGTGACAGAGTGAGACTCCGTCTCAAAAAAATAGTACTAAGTATTAAATGTATTGCATATTACTCCTTTGAAGCCTCCCTGCCTGACTCCTCCCTTTCCTGCCTTCTCATTCCCTACTTTATTACATCGCAGGTACAGAATTTATTACCAAGGATCTATCATAATTCCCCACCCCCACCTCTTTCTTCTCTTGCCCACAGTGTGCGACTTAGCAGAGTCAACAATACATATAATTGCACTAGCAACAGGGAAAATAAGCTTTGTTTTCCTATCGTCCGTTTTCATTAAGAGGTCCTCCTTAGATCATCTGAAATCTATGGCTTACACCATAGTCCTCCATCATCTCTGAAGCCAGGGAGTAGATCTTGGGCTTAAGTCCGGGCTAAAGAAGGGTTGAGAGGTGCTAGTTCTTGGTTGTCTGGGTGCTGTTGATTGGTGAAAGAATCTTAGTCAACACTGTCGCTTATCCAGACTTATGAGAACAAAATCAACTTGACTCTCCCACTCCTCATTCTGGTAGCATCTTAGGCCAGGTAAAGTCAATACATTTTTTTGAACTCTAGGAAGTAGAAATTCCTCCCTCAAAGGCTATACTGTCAAAAATTCAACTCCCGGCTCTATCGCTTCTTCATTGGGAGCAATTTATCTCTATAATCAAAAATGAGTACATTCAGATGAACTCTTCTGTGTGGGTTTAAATCTGACTATTCAAGGCTGGATGCGGTGGCTCATGCCTGTAATTCCAGCACTTTGGGAGGCTGAGGTGGGCGGATTACCAGAGATCAGGAGTTTGAGACCACCCTGGCCAACATAGTGAAACCCTGTCTTTACTAAAAATACAAAAACTGGCTGGGTGTGATGGCAAGCGCCTGTAATCCCAGCTACTCACGAGGCTGAGGCAGGAGAATTGCCTGAACCTGGGAGGTGGAGGCTGCAGTGAGCCGAGATCCCACCACTGTACTCCAGCCTGGGTGACAGAGCGAGACTCTGTCTCCAACAATAATAATTATTATTATAAAATTTAAAAAACCTGTTCAATATTCACTCTTGCTAGTAAGTAAGAAACGATGAGAGAAATGAATTGAAAACTGTCCCGCAAGACCCTGTATGGAAAAGGAGAAGGACTGCAGAAGTATATAGAACTTTAGAGCTTTTAAGTCTAACAACATATATCCCAACACCTTCTTTCTGGAAAGCAGATTTTTGTGAATTGAGGGCAGAAACATTACAGAGCTGATGCTTCATGGCTCTGGAATAATAAGTCCTCCGAGCCTGGATATCCTTCAGCTCTGCCACCTACCTCCTTGTTTGCCAAATGTCCTTAGAGAAGTTAGGATATGCCTGGGGAACCCTGGGTCCTCAGATAACCATGACAACTGGCTGACCCTGCTTTCTCTTTGTCTCTGCCCTCCTCTAGCTGGGAGGCGTTAGTAGCATTGCCCAAGACTCCCTGGGGTGATAGGAATTGTTTCTGCCTGAGGAGACACTCTGCAGCCTGGGCTCTGTGAGGCTGAGGTGGTGGTCAGAGTGCGCGTTGGGGTCCTGGGGCATCTGCCTTACCTGGCTTGTTTATGAGCGTTAAAGGGACGAAGTTGCAGGTAAGGGCCTCTTGGGAACGTTGCTGGGAATGAGAAACAGCAGGGAAACTACTGAGGGAGAGATTCAAGGTGAATGATGGGAAGTATAGAGTAGCTATTCTGGGGCTACTGTCTTTTCCAGAACACAGACATACTGGCTTAGAAATAGAGGAATTGGAGAGGCACAGTGGATCATGTCTTTAATCACAGCACTGCAGCTGGCCACGGCAGGAGTTCAAGACCAACCTGGGTGACATAGTGGGATCCTGTCTCTACAAAAAAATAAGAATTAGCCCTGCATTTTGGCACATGTCTGTAGTTCCAACTACCTGGGAGGCTGAGGTGGGAGGGTTCCTTTGTCCCAGGAGGTTGAGGCTGCAGTGAGCCATGATCATGCCAGCATACTCCATCCTGGGCAACAGATCAAGACCCTGTCTCAAAAAAGAGATAGGAAGAGGGGGAGAGAGAGAAATAGAAGAATTAACCCAGAGCCTTTTTAAAGATGAAACCTGAAACGTGTTTGTTTATTTATTTATTTAGAGATGGGCTCTCACTATAGTGTCCAGACCCACACTCCTGGGGTCAAGCCATTCTCCCACATCAGCCTCAGTAGCTGGGATTACAGGTGCTTGCCAATGCACCCAGCTTGAAACTTGTTATTTTAGTCTCTTCTGGACCTGAATTCAAGAGCCTTAAGACTTCATCTAAAACTTTGTATCTCTTATGGCTACCTGCATGTTTCATTTTCTAGCCTGAACTCTTATAAGAAACATCGGTCTTGGCTGGCGCAGTGGCTCACACCTGTAATCCCAGCACTTTGGGAGGCTGAGGTGGGCGGTTTACTTGAGGTCAGGAGTTCGAGACCAGCCTGGCCAACATGGTGAAACCCTGTCTCTACCAAAAATACAAAAATTAGCCGGGTGTGGTGGCTCACGTCTGTAGTCCCAGCCACTTGGGAGGCTGAGACAGGAAAATCACTTGAACCTGGGAGGCAGAGGTTGCAGTGATCCAAGATCATGCCATTGCACTCTAGCCTGGGTGACAGAGTGAGACTCCATCTCAAAAAAAGAAAGAAACATCGGTCTTGACAAGTAAGCTGTGGAGCAGCTCACTGCCGTGGGACCCTAAAGAGAGGGTCTATTGTGTGACATTCACCCTCTGACCTAATGCCTTCTGTTCGGGACAAATGGGGTCCCAGGCAGCCTGGGCCTAGTGGGTGGCCATGAGAGGTAGAGGAGGGACCCAGCAGAGCTCATGCCTGAGGGCTTCTGATGGACCTGGGACTCTCTGCTTTGCAGCTTGAAGAGCCAGGATGGCAGTCAACAAAGGCCCCACCTTGCTGGATGGAGATGTCCCTGTAAGTAACTTGGGCATATATGTGATGGGATGGGCAACTGAGTGGGGAGGAAGAAGCAGGGAGGGAGATGCAGGGGACTTAGAGCAAGGTATGCCCAGATTCAAATTCTGCTCCACTGACTACCATTTCTTAGTTATTCTTGCCCTCACCACCTCCCAGTTGGAGGAAATGGAAGGGGGAAAAAAGATGCCTATTAAAAGCTAAGCACCTTGAAAACAAGGAGTAGAAATCCCGGCTTGGGGACGGCGGGATGGAGAGGAAGAAAACTACTGTGTTTAAACGCTGATGCAGAAGCCCATGCTCTGCTCACAGCCCAGCTGGATGAGTGTTCTGTGAGGAGCCTCTGCATCCTGTGACTCCAGCAGCATCATCCACATGGCAAACAGCAACTCCCGGAGTGAGACAGTGCACAGCCTGTGCTGCTGGTTGGGGAGAGGGTGGGATATTCCCTGTGTCTGGTGTTCTGTCACTGACCTGGTTTTCACTGTGACTTGAAGTGGCTTGATACTTTTAGGAATGTTCGATGCCTCCTGGCAAGGCATCTCAGATTTAGGCACAGTTCAGATAGTAAAACTTAAAAATTATGAACCCAGCCAGGTGATGTGGCTCACACCTATAATCCCAGCACTTTGGGAGGCCAAAGCAGGCGGATCATGAGGTCAGGAGATCGAGACCATCTTGGTCAACATTGTGAAACCCTGCCTCTACTAAAAACACAAAAATTAGCTGGGTGTGATGGCGCACACCTGTAGTCCCAGGTACTTGGGAGGCTGAGGCAGGAGAATTGCTTGAACATGGGAGGCGGAGATTGCAGTGAGCCAAGATCGCACCAATGCACTCCAGCCTGGCCACAGAG